TACTCTGAGTGAGTAGGACCGTATTCCTGCTCGTACTTCAACAAATGTTCTCTCTTCTGTTCTGAGTCAGTGTAGGCAGCAACTTTAATAGTTAATACTTTTAAAAAAAACATTCCTTATACATTTTTTAACTGAAACATGAATGTGCCTGAAAAATCTAAGGGGTCTACTTTCCCATGAGGAAAATAAATTGCAGATTATATACCTACAGTGTGAACTTGTTACCCACCTGCACTACAAGCCAAATTGTACTGCCATATAATATTTGCTTGTTTTTCCTATCTTTTCCATCTATTTCATGTTACTGAGCATAAACATTAACATCCAGAAGAAGCATGAAATCATTTTTCTTCTACAAAGATTTTAGATCTTAACCAGAATTGACAGTTATGTACTTATAACTTTTATAATCATTTAGCAAGTTCATCTCAGTGCAAGGTTTCTAGCTAGGTTGAATTACTGATCCAACTTCATACGTGTCTGATGAAAAGAAATGATGGCAGTGTTCAAGGAAGTGAAACCGCTGAGCAAATAACGAAAAAAATATTTGGGCATTTGAATCCTTATCCCATAGTTGGCCTACATTCTTGTTTAGCAGTCACACAGTAAACTGGATGTTAAAGATTCTACCTATAAGCCTTGAAAGAGCCCTAGAAATTTTGCTCCTGTTTTTATTTTAAAGCTGTACATTTTGCTATAGCAATCAGATACTTAAAAACATAGAAGAAAAAAAACATAGCATAAAGAGAATTGTCAGTAATAGGTAATTGTTTATTTACCCACTGCCATCTTTATAACTTCTTTTATGTGTATTTTCAAATATAAACAATACCTAAACATAAGCTGCTGCAACAGGTCACATAGATCAGTAAATAAAAACTTCTAAATAAAGTTAAGGAAAATGAATCAGATTTAAGAAGCAGCTATTCTGGGCTGCACTAAGCCAAGTATTGCCAGCAGGTGGAGGGAGGTGATCCTGCTCCTCTGCTTGGCATTGGTGAGGCAGCACCTGGAGTGCTATGTCCAGTAGGGCCCTCCAGTACAGGAGAGACCCGGACATAACTTGAAAGAATCCCAACGTAAGGCCATAAAGATGATGAAGGGTTGGAGCTGAGAGAGCCAGGGCTGTTCAGCCTGGAGACTTGTCAGTGTCCGTAGATACCTGAATGGAGGGGGTGCTCCAGGGTTTGCCCAGTGCCTCTTGTCCTGGCACTGAGTGCCACTGAAAACAGCCTGGGCTTTCTACCTGGTTCTCGTTTGGCTTTTCTGAAAGAATTTATTCACAACCTAATCTCTAATTCTGCATTGGAAGCTCCAAGTTTTAATCTATCCCTCACGTGAGGATGTGTTCTGTGTTAGAGCTTTTGGTACTGCTCTGATTTAGCAGTGACCTTGGTGGGCCCGCTGGTGTGGCCACACTCCAACTCTACTGGAAGACAAAGATATTGCTATAGTAATCCTCTTCAGTGAGACAAACGTTTTTGATATCATGTTTTTTCAAGTGACCATGTTGCTGATTTGGTGAATTGTCTTTTAATAATGCTTGTAAGAGTTGTGTTGTTTGGTCATTTTGTATTTGTTCTTGGAAGTGTTATTTAAAGGCTAACTCAAATGAGGAAATACCTCTGCTATTGCAGGCCAAAGTCTCTCAACTTTTTTTTTCACTTCATCTTTTTGATGCTGACTGAGTGAATCTTTTATTTTAGATAAAGTTCACATTTTGCTCAAACCTCCTTTAAGCATCTTCAGTTGCAGGTATAAATCTTTTTAAGGAGATCCTACCTGGAGTAAGAAAGATTATCTTGGGTGCTACGGCTTCTGATGTCCATGCATCGCTTAACCTCATGCTGAAGGAAGATGTGATAGCCAAGTAGAACCACCAGGCCTTGCTCCATGAAAAAGACAGAGAGGACCTACCTAGGAAGATATGACTGACATTTATGGAAAAATGGGATCTGTATTTGAACACTTTGTTTCCCCAGTACTGTTTAAACTCTGTGGCAATAAACCTCAAAATATGAAAGATAGCAAGCCAACAGGGACCAAGTACTTATCTGGTAAATCAGATTTTTCTTTTCGTATTGTTAAAGATTTACTTTTGTTTATTGCATTGTAACAGTGCAAAGTGCATCAGTGGGGGGCAGGCAAGGAAGAGAAGAGAGCAGAATGTAGTCCAAGAGCAGCTACAAACAGATCCACCCATTCAGGTTAGCTCTCCAATAGTCATTTATATAGTCAGTCCATAATAAAACTTAATCTTTGATATTTCTGCAGAACAAGAAATGTAAAGTAGATCAAGGACTACAGTAAAGTCAGTTTTTGTCTACTGACATCTCAACCACTGATAATCTGAGCAGCATTTGTTCACAACCCATTCTGACAACTCATGGTGAGAATATCACTCACCTTTTTCAAGCATGTGTGGGAAGAACATTTTCTGTTGTAAATTCCAGCTGCCTATAAGCACAAAAATTACAATATCTGTAGCAGACTGCTGCATATTTAATGAGAGGAAGTACTTAATGACTTAAGAAGCTGGATTCAAGAACTGTGAGGTTCTTAGTGGGCAGAAGGAGAGATAAAAATGTGAAGTCTTCAAAATTGTGAGGTTGTAAACTCACTTAACTTTTAAGTCTTATCCATCAGGAGATTAATGTTGTATATAATGGAAAACAGAAGTAGTGTTGGGACAATCCTAACATGGCCCATCCTATGTGAAACAGAACTTCAGCTTAGTTATATTATTCAGAATGAATTTTAGAAAACAATTCTAAAAGGATAATGAAAGAATAATTAGTAGAATATGCAGATAGTCCTGTAAACCTGATGGAAGAAAGTTGGGCTGCAGCACAGGGCTGTGTGTGAAGTTTTTCCTCTCCTATAACACAGTATTGGGCATCACTTCTAAGGGCATTTCTGAGAATACAAGAAGAAATGCTAATGAAAAAAATAGATAGTTCATTAGTGGAAAAATACTGAACTGGAAGATCTTAGTGCTGTTCTTACATTCAAATTAATGCCAAGAAGTCATATTTATAGAATATCATGGCAGGTAGCCTGGGGTTACATAAGCTGGGACCGTATAGAGTCTGCTTTTAATTAAATCCCTGAAATGCTTGTAAACACATCCATTGCTTCTCATTTTTGTAATACTCATGCCTAAAATCTGCATTCAAAGATCATGATCCTGTAAAGCCTGGCTCTGCGTCTGTCACAAAACTTGGATTAATTTGAGACATGACAGAAGGAAACCAAAGTATATCAGAATAAGCACTAGTCTTCATCCATCACATGTTCAACTATTGCCACTATTCTCTAGATTTTGTAATTAGGAGCAGAGCTTAAAGAAGTAGCTTCAAAGATATACGTTCATCAGGAAATGACTCAAACTATTAGATTAAACTTCCTTTGAAGCAAATTTTTTTTCGAAGTTTCTTTTTCAAATCTGTTCATTTTCAGATCTATGTTCAATGACTTTTACTTAGCAAAGACAACACAGGTCAGGAACAGACAGATACCAGCAGGTCCTGAATAAGGATCTTTAAAATATCTGGTTGAGAAAGCCTCAGATTTCCTCCACTTGTAAAGTGCATCATTTACATCAATTTTGCAGTGCTTCCAATATCCATTGGTACGTTCTGCTTGTTCCTTTTGCTGTAGGGCAGCTTATCTTCATTTTGAATCAGCAAAAACTGAAGCACAGAAGCAGGTGTTCACCTATGGAGTTTAGGCACTTCTCAGCTGTCTCACAGCCTCCTGTCTTCTTTACACTCTGTCTCTAAGACCATCATTAGAGATTAGTCCACTAGATGAACTACTACTCTGATTTGTTCCAGCAATTCTTTTCTGCTGTTTCTAAGCAGCTATGGCTGTTGTGCACAAAGTGGGCAACTTTTTTTTACTGTAGTTATATGAATTGGAATTACAGTAAACAGCCAAACTCCTTTGTTCTCCAAATTTTCATTCTTGAGGTACATTGATTACACCAGGGGATTACAGCCACAGAAACTGATGAAGTTTGCCTACAGGACTCATAAAGGAGCTTGAGATTTGTGGGGTTGTTCTGCATGTTGCAAGATTAACAATAATCCTTTTGACTGTTTGTAGGAGTTTTCCTTGCAATGACTGTATTACAATCATTATCTGTTCTAGGTTGACATGTTCCCCCAGAACCTGGTGGAAGTGGAGCTAAAGGAAAAAGGCTTACACAGATCAGCAGCTGCTTTGCTTATAGGACCTGCTGCTGCCTTGTGAGGAAGCCAAATGTTACCAAGCAGCTGACCAAAAGCTTGCAAGTCCTGGATACCACTGACTTGATCAAATCTCACTGCTTTCCTTCCCCCTTCAAACTCTGGAACTGTGTTATAAGCTATCACTTACAAGAAGCATTTGCTCACTTGAGGATAAGTTCTTTCTCAGCAATTTCTAACTCGTGTAGGTCTTTGCATAATACAAAATTTGAAAAATAGGTAAACAGGGTTGCATTTCCACATGGAAGCAATGATAGGATTGCAGAAGGAACACTCATTAGGTAAGTTAGTTTTCATCTTTGTCTTATGACAGACAGGCACCAGCAAGGTGTGACTCAGTCTGAGATTCAATAGATGAATAAACACTGTCTGCCAAATGTTGGTACCAGCAAACTCTGAATGTCATGTGTAAACCAGACAAGTTTTATGTTGTGTAGAGCACCATACTTGTCAGTTTGGACCAAGGGCAAAAGCCACTTGCAGAAGGTACCAAATTAGCTTTGTTTTGGCAGTTTTTAACCATGTGAAGGATAGTTTCACTTCTGTTTGAGCAAATGGAGCCCCAAGGTAAGAGTGCTTGCATGCTGCCTGCTTATTCTTTCCAAGGGACTGTTTAACAGTTTGACTTTGGGACAGATTTGAACCAGGAAAAAAATGGGGAATTTTGGGGAACACCAAACCTTGTTCTGCCAACTCTCAAGTAGTTCCAGTTTCCAAGTGGATAAATTGTTCTGTTCCTACAAAGCAGCAAGTGCAGGCTCTTCTTAGCTGTGGCAAGTGACAGGTACAAGAGTTTGTTGTACAGGGCTGCTAGAGGGAAGCTTCCTCTTAAGTTTTCCTCCTTGGAATTCCCCTAAGCCTCTAACGTTTCAGCTGTGACTTGCCTGGCTTGTTTCCTCCTTATTTCTATGAACCCTCAGTAGTGAGAGCAGCTCTCCTGCTGTGCTGGTGCTGAATCCAGATTGAAGGAACAGGAACCACCTGCTTTCCTAAGGTCAGTTTTTCTTCAATTCTCAACTGCTATGCTTTTGTCATGGTAAATTCATTTTGTCTTACCTGCCGTGAAGAACTGTAACTGATTTGTGTGTCAGTATCTGGACTTGTATTGCTTGAAGTATTCTTAGGATAAAATCTGAATTAGAAGGGATGAAATTTTGCAGAAATTTTAGTTATGTTAATTGCTTGAAAATGAGTAGTTTCAGGTTTTGAGGGGAACATGCTTCTTCTCTGTACAAATACTGTTTATACGGAAAGTGAAACTGCGGAGTATTGGAATAAACTAGCTTGTTTCTGTTCTTCTGACTGTTTTGGCAAGAAAACGTTCTGGTTTAGGAGGGCTTCTGTGATAGAGAAGGTCTTTGAATATAAAGGAAGTTTGTCTGCTAAAAAATAGGCAAGGGGTCTCCTCTGCCACTTCGTATCACCTCCCTGCTGAGATGGGAGAGATGGGCACAGCTCTGACAGCAGAGGCACTGCTGGGTTCAGGAGGCAAATTCTGTTCTCAAAGATTTTCTCAACTCTGACGCCTGCAGGACAGCTTGCCTGCAGCCTGCCTACACATACCTATCTACCAGGCAAAGCTGGTGAGGTTTTGGGGTTTGATTTTCTAATCTGTTGTTTCTCACTACACAATGAAGTTCACAGAAAGGCAGAAAATCCCTCAGGCTGACATCTGTACTTTTTCAAACTTCTCTAACCTCATCTGAAGGAGACAAACGAGAGTAAGGTAGGACATACAGCAGATTTTTTTCCAGCATCATCTCAGTTCTTTCATTTTAGACTAATGCATAGGTAAGATGCCTTCCGTAGGCAAAAGCATCATCTTTTGGTAAATCACATAATACAGCAGGAAAAGCTAAACAGGCTTTTGGACATAAGTTTCTCATAGATTTGAAATAGGACCCCAAACTTCCAATGCTAAATATAAGCTGCACACTATTATTTTTGGCTTCCTAAACTGATATGAAAATTAAGTTGTAGGGCAGGGTTCTTCCGTTCCTGAGATGACTTTCTTTTTCTTTTAAAATTTTCTTATCCTCTGTACTTGTGGGAAATTGCTTTATTCCCTGTCAGTCAAAAGAGTTTGGGAAAGAATACCCCCTGACAGATCTCCTCAGAAGCATCTTTCTCACATTGGAAGAAAACTCCACATTATTGCCTTTCTGTAAATCTTCTCCTTCCTCTTAACTACCGCTTGGTTTTAACTGCTAGCAGACTTCATTGCCTGGTGTCAAATGATAAGTCACAACTTACTCCCTTTATCTATAGGAAACTAAAATGTGCCGTCTAACTCTTAGGACTTGTATGTGATTTAAGGGAACACCTACTGCTTCATGAGCTGTATTCTTTGTCCTGGTATAGTGATGCTCACTATTTCTTTTACTACTTTACCAGCATTTGTAATTCTTATTGTTTTGCTAGCACTGTAAAAGAGTGCTGAACAAAACCCACCCAGAGTCTTGCAAGTGAATCAAATTGCTGTGCTGTATATGTAGAAAACAGCACTAACATGGATGCATCCTGAGTAGAAACCTTACTGCAGCAGAGGTATGCACTGAGTCATCATAGAGTTAATGCAAAGGGAGCACAGGGAATATAGGGATGGAGCTGGAGTTAACAGGCTGCTTGGGAAAGGATGTGTTAGTTCAATGTTTAAAGAAAAAAAATTAGTCTTAACAAGCACCCAAATAGCAAAAGACAGCACCCTGGAAGTACATTGGGAAGCACAACCTGTCTTTCTCACCTAGAACTTTTGCTTTGTGCAGAGGCCAAAAGCAAATGTCAGTGCTGATGTCCCATGGGACTTTGGTCCCCTGTTACCTTCCCCAGAGAGCTGGTAACAGCATTCAATGCCCTAACACAAAGGTTTGGATGAAACTTTAATCCTGTGATGTGAAAATACGCAAAATGCCCATTTTGGCAACACTGCAGGACGCCAGGGGACTGTATTATCAGTAAACTAAGGTAAAGTCATGTGTGAAACAACCAAGAAAGTGACTGAGCAGTACAGAACACATCAACTATAGCCTCAGACAGTGGGTGCTGGATTCAGTGGGATGCTGTGTGGAAAAAAAAGGGAAAGTCCTGGAAAGCAATTGCTGTTGTAAACACACTTAGTAATGCTGGGTTTCATTTTCTGCGCTTCAGTTAAAACACACAGCCAAGCATTCACTATCCAGAGGTGTAATCCTGCTTCCCTCTGGCACACCCTTCATGTAGCAACCTTCCTCTTTCCAAAACTCACTTCTTTTTCCCTGAAACTTTGGACAGAGCACTTTCCACAATCCCCCCATCACTTTAATGCCGCAGCACAGCTGTTATTAAGATTTTTTTTTGGTTCAGCAAAAGAAACTACACCACCTGAAATCCAGCGTAGATAATAGAAAGGCAGATTTGTGTAGATGTATGTCAGCCCAATGCAGTGAATAAAAAAAGAGGGTAAACAGTGCAAGTTCTTCATTTTTGAAAGTCTTCAATCTTCCCAAGGTAGAAGGCTACATTTCTCTTACTCCTGTACTCCTGAGCTGTAGCTCTTCTTAATTCTTAATTTTCAGCTCTATAGCAGGACTTGGAACTGGCAAGGCTCCTTTCTCAGCTCCTTCCTGACACCTTGACCTTGTAATGCAAAACATTTTGCATTATGTCTGTATTTAACCACAGGGAAATGCAATTGGAAGAGATCTTTAGAGTAACAAAAGCTCTTAGGATTATATTTCCACAAAGACTAAGAAGACCTACTTACTCCCTTTCCATAGGATTTGCCCTTTTCTTCATCTGCTGTAATCAAGCAGTTTAATAATTGCCAAACTTGGAAGGAGTGATTCACCTGTCTGTTTTGCATTCCCTTTAGAACTGCACAGGACCATGGGATGGCTGAGACTGGAAAGATTTCTGGAGCTCAGCTGCTCCAATGCTGCTGCTCAGGCAGGGCTACCCAAAGCACATTGCCCCGGGCTATGGGACAGCAGAACTTCTGCTCATCACTTCTCTGTCTCTACTTCTGATCCAATATTATTTTGGGGTTAATGTTTCAACAGCATTGTTCACAGTGTGGAAAACCAATATTCTGCAAGGCCCAACTGTGTTTAGATTTTACAGTAATACAACAAAGAGCATGCAGCAACAATTTGAGAAATTAATGTGATATGTTTATAACCTCCTTCTTGGTTCTCATGAAGGTTTGTCAACTTCTGCTTTCCATTTATAGTAGGGCAGGCAATAACCACAACTTTTTGTAATGTTGATAATGTAATGAGGCCACACAGTATGAAAAAGGAGAAGTACCTGAGTGTAGGTCACCCCTACGCGTGGGGTGTTGCTATGTCCACCTGCTCTCCTAAGATTTGGCTCTAGATTCAGGTGTCTTCTGCAGAAGAACACAGAGAGGTCCATTTCCAAGCTGCACAAAGGGACAACTCCACCCAGGGCTGGGAGGGAAATGAGGATTAGTTCACAAGAAAGTAGCTTGTGGTAGTGTGACTGGTTCTGCTTACTGCCTTCACCTCAAAATACAATTCTCAGTGCCTGTCTGAAACTTTCCATAGTTGCAGTGTGTGACCAGCTATTTTAACAGGATGCAGACTGGAAAATTTGCTGGTTGTCCATTTCATGTTGGTATCTGAGCATTATGGTGGATTGAATGACTTGGATCATCAACACAGATAGCATTCATATCAGAGATCTGTAAGCACTGAGAAGCCAATATTTGTTTTGGAAATAATTTGATAAAGATGATGAATAACCAACATGTACAGTTATTCCACTATCTGTGGAATGTTTGAGCTTATGCTGGTGCTTGCTGCTCTAACTGGAAGCGTACAGAAGGGATTTAAAATGAGGTGGAGGACAGATAAACTTTATCTAAAGAAATGCAGAAACAAAGCAGTTCCCAAACCGTACAGAAATGTGGGAGTGCAGCAGGGAGCACATGAGTACACAGAGAGTTGTCTCGATTTTGTATGGCACTCTAAAATGCTTAGCAATTCTTATTAGCTCATGCTTTTTTGTCTAGTGCTTTTTTTTTTGTCCAGCAGATATTGCTAAATCTATTTTTTAAATTACTGTAGTAAATTTTACAGTGCCAGCAAGTGCCCTGTTACCAGAAATGAATTCCCAATGTGACCATACACAGTAAACCATAAAGTTTGGGGAAGAGCTCTACAAAATAGCTGTGTGATCTTTTACTGTTCTTTCCTGTACTGAGGGGACTTCTCCTAGAGCTGTCTGCAGGTCTCACGAGCTGGGATGTAGCAGCCCAGCCAGAAGCTGCTGACCCCGAACAGACATTGTCATAGCAGTACAGGATGGAGTTCTTCCATCCTCTTCACTGCAGTCTCCTTGTTCCCTCAATAACTGCTGGATCTGTGCTTGTACCACTTATATTTTGAAGTTACAGAAGCTGCAGTTTATTTAGTACTTGCCAGGTTGTTTTGGGCTGTATGGTCAGACTGCAGTATCCCACCTGGTTGTTGTGAAAAATGGGTGAATCTCATTGCAATAACTTCACTTGAGACTTATCTGCATGATAACAATGACTTAAAATTACAGACCTAGATGCAGATTGCAATGAGTCTCACGCATGAGACCAGTGAGACCAGTTCCAGTCCTGTCAGATTTCAATGGCTTATGATCAGCAGAAAGCCACAGTGCTAGACTTTTACTTTTCATTTACAGAAGTTGTCTCTGTCATAGCTAATTGTTTTGTGATCTGATTTCAGACAAGAGATAAATCATGGATTCAGCATCTGTGTCTGAAAATGGCTACCTTGATTTGCTGCTTTGTGATATTGATCCAGTGCATCTATTTACATTCTCAGACTCTAAGTCGTCTGGAAATGAAGGTGAATTCTTTGCAGGTTAGTAAAGCACTAAAAAGCACTTGAATAATTTAGATATAAGGCATTGCCATCTCTTCAAGATTAAGTGGCCATCCAATGACAGTTCATCGTGGTGGCTGGACTGAATTCACCAGGTGCTTTGTTTTGCAATATGATAATTTTTTCTGTATAAGTATATAAAACAATGACTGCTTCCGGAAACTACCACGTATTTAAAGACGTGCAAGGTGCTGAACCTGGTCCAGAACAATCCCAAATATCAGTGTCAATTAGAGTGAATGAATGGAGAGCCTCTCTGAGCTGTGCCCCCTGCACAAACTCACATGTTTGTGTTGGACATGGAGCAGTTGGAACAGGTCCAGAGGAAGGCATGAATATGCTCAGAAGGTTAGAGCACCTCTCCTATGGAGGCAGGCTGAGAGAGCTGCAGTTGTTTAGCCTGAAAAAGAGAAGGCTCTAGGACAATCTTACTGGGGCCTTGCAGTATTAAAGAAGGCTTAAAAGAAAGATGGGGAGAGACTCTTTACAAGGGTGTGTAGTGATGGGACAAGGCTTAACAATTCAAGGCCAGGTTGGATGGGCTTCGGGCAACCTGATCTGGTGGGAGGTATCCATGGCAGGGAGGTTGGAACTGGATGATCATAGAACATCTCAGATTGGAAAGGACCCACACGGATCACATCCAACTCAGCACTACACAGGACTACCTAAAAGTTAAGTCATGATCTTTATAGGTGTCTTCCAATTCAAACCATTCTGTGATTCTATGAAGATAGACAACTGCAAGCAAACTCATTTCCTAAGGCACCAACACAATAGACTTGCATTAGCAGGTGCTGTTCTACATCTTTTCAGAGCACAGACTAATGATTTCATTATTCTGTGATGGAGGAGAAAGCAGAAAGACTAGGGTGCTGAGGGGATGTTTCCTTTCATACAGGTTTCTACAGCTAAGCAGATTAGAAGGTTGGCCCTCGCCATCAAATTCTGCTCCTAAATTAGTATGGACATTGCAGAGCACAGTGCTTTGCCTGGGCTTGCTAGAGTGAAAGCATGAAAGTGTACCTGTGCTGCTGTGTTATGAAACAGTAGCTGAGGTTGTTTTAAGCAAAGGAGCTCAACATGTTGAGAATGGCAATGAAAGGAGAACATATGTTGAAGTCCTAGAGCTCTGTGCCAGATAGACGTTAAGAAGTTACCATACTGGAGTGATACCATTTCAAATCCACCTTGCTTTCTGCATCTTGTTGCAGGAGTTTTTCTGCACTGCCATGACCTCACTTGCACAGGACTGAAAGTAGGATGAATTAGGGATAAAGGACTTGACTTTCACAACAGCAGAGATGTTTTGCTGGCTTGAATTCTTAGCCTTCCTAGTGTCTGAGAAGACATGGATAAGTTAAACAGTGTCAAAATATGGCCCCATTTATTGGAAGTAGGACATCTTCATTGTTAAGTTGTTAACACAGTCCCTGACATGCTTTTGGCCTTGTCTGACTTGCACTTTCCTAGCCAATTTACTGCTGCAGATCAGAGGTTAGCAAGGACTCTGCAACATTCCCAAGAGGGAATTTGGATGGTGTTACCACATCCTGAAGTATAAAAAGGTTTAATAACATGGACTATTTGGGGTTAGTCTTGTCTGCCATGTGACAGATGACAGGACAACAAGAAATGCCTCAAGTCCCTGGAGGTGTTCAAGGCCAGGTTGGATGGGGCCCTAGGCAGCCTGGTCTAGTATTAGATATGGAGGTTGGCAGCCCTGCCTGCAGCAGAGGGGCTGGAGATTGGTAATCCGTGAGGTCTCTTCCAACCCATTCTGTGATTCTATGAAGTTGCCCCAGGAGGTTTAGGTTGGATATCATGAAGAACTTCTTTACAGAAAGGGTTCTTAAGCACTGGAACAAGCTCCCCAGGGAGGTGGTTGAGTCACCAGCCCTGAATATGTTTAAAAACCATCTGGATGTGGTGCTCAGGGACATGATTTTACGGTGGGTTGTTAGAGTTAGGGTAGTACGGTTAGGTTGTCGTTGGACTTAATGATCTTGAAGGTCTTTTCCAACCTGAGCAATTCTATGATTCTGTGATGATTCCACGCCATGTCTCCAGGCTGTAGTGCCATGAAATGGGTTCTGGAACCATTTTATATACTAGGAGAGGTGAATTTTCAGAGTTTAACAAAAGAATGTGGATTTCTGGGTTAACTGTAAGTTACTGAGAATTCAATTCTGTTCCTAGTTAGCCAACATGCACCAAAAACCAAAAGCCTTACACTGAAATAATACATCTCCTTTTTCTTCATGTCCTGCTTTCTGTTACTTTTCCTTAGCTGTGGTATTTGTTAAACCAGTGCTAACTCCTTTTTCATTCTAGATCCTGAAATTGATACCTGCAACTATGAACAATTCAATAATATGGATTTCCTGTGTACAGTGGAAAATGATGAAAGTGAGGATGAATTGTATCTCTCTTCCAGTGCCAGAGATGCTTATGCTAGAATAGGTATGAAAGCTTCTTCTTTGTTTTTGTTTTTTTTTTTTCCAGCTCTTGGTATCTTAATGTGCTCATTCTTTTCTACCCATTTGATATAGCTCTTTCCTACAAATTCTATTTTCACTCTAAAGAGTGGCACATATTCAAGGGTCCTCATGCACAGTAAGTCTAACCATGGTATGGCAGGTATTCAAGGGTCCTCATGCACAATAAGCCTAACCTTGGTACCTAAAACCATGCATTGTGGGGAAACAGATGAACAACAGTCTGTGGTTGTTAGGGGAAAATCTCTCTATTAATGGCTCCTTCTGCTTAATACTTCCTGTCTCCACTTCTCCTTTCTCATGTTCTTTGTTTCCTGAGCAACAATTTACAAGAAAATCTTAATTTAACTGTTATTTCAGTTATATTGCAGAATTCTGTGAACAGTAGTAAACAGTTTTTACTGTGAAATTTACTGTGGCATTACTGTTTTCCTGTCTCTTTTCTTCTTTTAGCTGAATTAGCAGAATATGTGCTCAAGGATCAGCATGAGAAGCAGGTGGAAGATGCTTTTGGTAAGATTTATGTGGACAAGTTTAATTTTCTTCATGACAGAGTTCTGGATAACACCTTGCACTGTACTTCAATTAGAACACCAGTAAGATTTCTGTCATCAGGTATCCTCTTCCACCTTCAGCTTTCTTTCACCCGGAAACTGTGCTGACAAGTTCTGAGGATATTTTGCTTTTTGCAGGATTTTCCATGTGATAGCAGTTGTATTTGTGGCCAAACTGCTGATCACTTCACCATAGCAATATTGTAGGCATTGCTTGACTGTCTAGTGCAGTAAATGCCTACAAGAAGCATAGACTTATCAGCATTTGACACAAATGATGTCCATGTATTCATTAAGCCCAACACACCAATAGGTCTTATCGTGTGTATAAATTCAGTTCTGCACCCTTATTTCTGTGGAGGATGCACTAAGTCGCCTGAGAAGCCATGTCAGATTTTACTTCTCCCAGATCAACACAGGAATGGTATAAAATATATGTAGTAAATGATTTCTTCATATCAGTAATTGATTGGAGATATTTGCTTGACATCTTGATCAAAATCAGTGTTTTGATTGTGGCACAAATGCAGCAGTTCACCATTTTAGAGAATCTGTATTATCGTGTGGCTGCTGAGAAATACGTAGATTCAGAAAGGTTCACAGAATATCTGCACATCCTCTTTTATGCTTGGAGAAAGTAATTTGGAATTGCTTGCTAAAGGTCAGAGCATATCCAGGGCAATTAATTCTGGCTACAAGAGGCCCATGTGGCTTTTAAAATGTTTTTTTTTTTACCTCTCCCTGGTGTTTTTAGAATTCAGAGTGAAGAGGTTGAACGTAATGGCAAAACTGGTGCTGATCTTAGGGGAAATGAGATCCAATTTTAATATTTATGTATTTTCCTGTAGAAGAATGGTACAGATAGCTTCACTGTTTTATAAAAAAAAATATATAAACAGTTTGGAACACTTTACTCTTCCTCTAAAATAATTAATCTTTCTCATCTATATAATGACTAAGGTCCTTTTCTGGTACAGAGATCACACAAACTCTCTAATATAGCTGTGATCCAGCTATGATGTTCAGTTCTTTGCTCATAATTAGCAGTGTTTTAGTAGCCATTGAATTTGTCACAGTACATCAATTTCTTCACTCTCAAAACTAACACAGGGTGACAGAATCTAGGGTCGGATTTCTGTGAGCTTTCTAAATCCTATAGATTTGGGTATGCTTTGCAGAATGGTTTTTGTTGTTCATCTTTTATTTGGAGCATGTTTCATCATTGCTGTCTTCTCGTGTCATTCTCTCACTTTTATCTCCTGCAACATTTCTAGGAGAACAAAAGTTGAGATTTGCAATATGTCATCTTTTTAGCAGGGAACCTTATTTTGGATGAAATGGCTCTTGAAAACACTGAGAAATTCACTGACGTAAAGAAGCAGAAATGTCACAAAAGAAGTAAGTAAAAACAGTGAGAGTCTGAAAGGCTCTAAAGTTTGCATCCAAAATTTGGATTAGAGTTCTTTGGTTTTATATGCAGCCTCAGTGCATTTCTCATGTAGTTCTTCAGTGACACAAGCAGATGTGCTTCCCCTGACTTTTCCTATCCTGGATGGACATTAAGCAAAAACTCCCTCCAGCACATTCTTCACAATTTGCAGAATTTGTTTTCCTGTAACATGACATTAAGCGTGTTGTATTTCTTTCCCCCTAATTTTTCTTTCCTTTTTTTTTTTTTAAATCTCTGTGAGAATGTTAACTTTGTTTGCAGTGTATCTACAGCTTAGCAAGCATTAGTTCAACTGTTCACTCTTTAACAGCAAGAAAAACAGCAAAGCTACATTATTTAAGGAAAAAAAAATAATCTATAGCTGAATTCAAATTTCAGGATCACAGTAAACTAATATGAGACTACTGACATTCATGTTTAATGTTTTGGACTCATGCAGTTCTGAAGTAGCTGAACTGAAATTGTTAGCATCCTCTTTTACTTTAAAGTGTAAAATAAGTTTCTACAATGGAAACATAAAATCAACAAACTGTGAATCCTCTTTCTGTCATTTACTGTCACCTTTCTTTCTTTCTTTCAGCCTTTTTAGGCTCTGCAGAGACTTGTTCTGATACTTCAGAACCTAAATACAAGAAAATTGGTAAGATACTGGCTGAATACGAAAAGATTATTGACTGTATTACACCACCTCATGTTCCATACTGCCTTCCTGGTTAGATGTAACTCTGCCTTGCAAAGAAGATCTGCTGTCACAGATTTGATGATTAGCATAGTGGTGCATTTTCATACTTCAGTGCTTCCAGTAGAGTAGAAACTGCTGTAGAATCACATGCTTCTTACCATGCAGCTGTCCAATTCATGATAGAAAAATGACTTTGTGTCTAGAGAGGCACAGTTGAACTTTTCTAAACCCACCTGAGGGCATAAAGAAGGCCAGTGGAGAACTGGAACAGTGATAAATTTTGTAACTTTTCATGTACACCTTTTATTTATGATGCGTTACGTGACTCTGAAAAAAAGAGGATCAATACCAGGAAATGCCAAACAGTGGCTAAGTGTGATGCTTCACAGAAATCCAGGGAAACATCCTAGTAAAAATAACAGTGAAGAGACTGCTTCTTGGCCCAGCCCATATTCTACAGTCCTTTGCACCAAAGTAAAACAAATATAAAACATTTCTAAGCTGTCAGACCATCTACAAGGTAATATCAGCATCCAGCAAGCAGGCTATAACTTGTTTCCAAGGACAAAGCAGTGCTCAAGTTCTTGCCTGGCTGTAGGATAAATGTGTGTCACAGGCATAAGTAAATACGGTTTGTTGTACCTCAACCTCTCTCATCTCAAGCAGTATTAAGGGACAGACTGTGCCCTTGAAGCCAATTTAAGACCTTGTTGAGTCTTATCTGTCAGTCTAAACACATCTAGAAAGAAGACAGGCCAGGAAAGATGAAGAATTTCATTTACTCTTTAGATTTTGCAGAGTAAATTTTGGAAAGTTATTAATTTTTTTTTTCACAACTCAACTGATAAGAATTGGGTTTTTATGATATCTGTTGATACCTCTTCTATGGGTCCCTCAGCTTCTAGCAGTGAAGTAAATTTCTTTTTTGTTTTTGTCTCATTTTTATTTTTAAGTGGATGCCCCTGCAGTATCAACAGGGAATGGATGTTTCCTTACGACGTCTCTCAACAGCCATTCATCTGACTGCACCCCACTAACTCATCAGCACATGTCCTTTTCTGTTCCCACTATCAATGCACTGGGAAATTTTGTAATTCCTGGTATGTACCCCACAGCTGTAGCTGTGAACTCTTATGTTGGTTGTTTTATTGCATCTTGTAAGTTTGGTCATTGACCATGAACAGTAGTGGGGAAAACAATTTAACAGCCACTTCAGTCTGAGACTTAAAATTGAGACACTCACTAACAGAATGAAAATGTTCAAGATAAATTGAAAGTACTTTCCCCCTACCTGAATAGAATGAATCTTTTGTTTAATTGGTGAAGTGCAGGTTAATAAAGAAGAGATTAGAGTTATTTAATATAAACAATTAACTATTGGTCCTAAAAGAATAGGAAATAACAAAATTTTCTGGAATGAACTTTTGTTTAGTTCCAATTTCTTTCTCATCCAGGTGTTTGTAAAGGGCTGCTAGATAACTCTGTTTGCAGTTATACATGCTATTTGTGTCTTTGCAATAGCAGACCAAAATCTAGTGTGGAATTTTTTTCACAAAAAGTGAATACTTATCCAAGTGATGGGCTGAGTAGTCACCTTGATTTGGTCATGTTGTATATAACAGAAGGTGTGCAGGCTCCACTGGCAAGTGCTAATGACAAAGACTCACAATCTAATACCTCCTGCTGTTAAACCTATGCTGGAAATGAATCCAAAAGCTTTGTGTAAGTGTGGGAGTGTCTCTGTGAAGCTAGGTGAAACAGCACAAAGTAGTGGAAGAAATTCTGTCACACCGCAGAAACTTGGGGCTATGTATGACTGAGTTACAAACACTCCATCAACAAACAATTCCCTGGTTTATGGTCAGAGGGAGAATGCTCACTAGCTGCTTGTACAGCTGTGTTGTGCAGTTCTGTGCAAAGGAGGGAAAGCATTCATTCAGATATGTGGTATCAGTACATTTTCTCTCTTCTTGATCTCTGGTCTGCACATCTATGGACTTTGCCCTGAGTATATTGCCTTAATAGTAATAGACTTTGTCTTTTGAATGTCAAGACACAAGGGTCACTAAACACTGGGTAATCCCCTGTGTTTTCCAATAATCATACCTTTTAAGAGTTTATTCTGATATGTTCTGTGTCCCTCATGTGATCTCATGAACTTCAGAAAAAACATAAAGTCATACAGTTCTGTATCATAAGGTCTCTGCTGGAAGTATTTGCCCAGAAAGTACAAGAAAAGATAATTATCTCTCAGAAGGCTGTTTAGTTTTTGTTTTTAGGAACTTTTTGAGATAGGAAGATTTGAAAACAGGAGAGTAATGATTCTGCTGTTTCAGGGTCTTCAGTACCTTTGATTCCAGAGAGTCTGCCACTTGGCATGAAAGACAACAGAGAGAACATAGACTCTGTGGATCCTGCTCAGCAGAAAATTAATTATTTTCTTGGAAATGGTCAATCTAATGCTATAAAATATCCAGGTAAGAACTATAATCTTTTATCCACATAAATAGTCAGAAAGTACTGGAAAATCAATGCTGTTAACAGAGTACAAGACTCCCTCATTTCAGTCACTAATAGCTGCGATACAGTGAAAACTCTCATTTGTTTCTTGCCAGCACTGACTTCCTCCACTGAATTAATGGTATCCCCAAGTTTTCAAGTTAATTTAAATGGTAAGTATAGCATCAATTTGAATATGTACATTACTTCGGATCGGGGAGGGAACACTCCCTTCTATTCAAAGCCAGTTCCCCCCTGCTGGTTTTACTGAAGTTGACCTCATTCAAGAAAAGAAAAAAAAAAACAACAAAAAAAACCAGTGGCATTTCCTGCTTTATACTGCTGACTTGCTGCTTAGTCTAGTCCAAAGAACGAGGCAGGTAAGGGCTTGTAGAACTACTGGCTCAATTATAAAAAAAAATACAGTTTGCCACAAAGGAAAATCTTATCTAGTTAAAAGCCTTACAAAAGCCCCTTGTGTTTGACTGCTATCAGAGCATGAGGCTGTCCCATTACTGTCTTTGCCTGAGCATTTGAAGTGCTCTGTGCTGGAAGCCATATGCTGCAGTCAACTTCCATAGGAGCTATAAAACTGAAGTCTTATTTAACGAAACAGTGCAGATGCATAGTATGCAGAAGGGCTTATAAATAGATCAGAGTCTTTTTCAGGCTGTAACAGTCCCAGCTGGGATAGCAGGCTTTCCTCTGCACTTTTCTTCCAACTCTCGGAGTGCAGGGAGATTTGTTTTCAGTAGCTCCTCTCCTTCCCTTCTCTGCGTGATCTGGCGATTTCAGCTCCTCGCGGCTTACTACAAGTGTTTTGTTGCCCTCTGGTGGCTAACCCAGCCCACAGATGCACAACTTCGAACTAGGAATTAATAGGCAAATACTCCAAGTTTTGAGAAAATACTTGTAAATGTTGTATACTGCTTTTACTTTTGATGAGATAAACCTTTCCTACATGTGAATGTGAATTTCTGCACACCGCCATTTGAAAAAAATAAAAAAACAGTGGATGCCACCTTGTTATGCTATGACTTGGCACTGTTGGAACAGCTGTCATCTTTTTGAGCGTCATGCTGCCTTGGTTCACATCAGCTCACGTGTAATACTGTGAGCTTTTCTCTCCCCTTTCTTGTGTAAGATCAGTGGTAATATTTTCCTGACAGTACATGTTTTATGTTGCAGTGAACTTGAGCATTTGGATTCGTTTTCCTGCTAAAATTAGTAAAGCTGAATCAGCAACTATTGGATATCTTTCTCAAGTATATTGTCATGTTTCAGGCTTAGAAATGTACAAAGAAGTCCAAGTTCCAGTAATTCTTTCTGAAGAAACTTCAAGAAGACCAAGTGAGTTGAAACTTCCACAATTTGCTGTTTTCCCTTCTTTGCAGAATAGAGCCTTGTTTTAGGAATTGTCATTCTCAACAATTTACGTTGTTCCAACTCTCTTGAGCTAAATTCCTGCTTTTAAGATCTTAGACTTGTACATTTCCGGACATCCAGCTATATAACCTACCCAGGAGATTAATGTCCTTAGCTGTTTTATCACGTCCATAGATATCTTCAGAGTGATTGAGTTCTTAGTGTAAAGGTGTTTGTCATTACTGAAGTCTGAAGTAACTGGAGCTAGATAAATTCAGGCCTGCGTGCTTTATGGGAACTGATATATTTTGACCATATTACGGTCATGTGCTTAAAGCACCCTGAAGCATTGCTGTTGTTTTTGGACTGGTTCCTTCAGTTTGCATATGTGTTTTTTTCTCTAGGGTCAGTGGAAGCTTTCTGTACATCGCTTATGGATTACTTCCGAGACGTATGCAAATCTGTGTCTGTGGAGCGTGAAATGTCTCTTGATCACATGTATATTGATGGTACACTTAGGCAAAGCCAAATTGAAACCAAGCCTGGGAAGAACAGTGTAAAATCAGTGGAAAAGGATTCGGTAACTAACAGTCAGCAAGGGAAGGAAAAGGCAGTCCTTGAAAGAAACCAGATATTTCAAATCCCAGGAGGTAAAGAGTTAGAGACTAAAGTGATTGTGGTGCTGGGAAAAGCAGGAATGGGCAAAAGCATTCTTGTTCAGAAGATCTGCCAGGACTGGTCCAATGGAGAGTTTCCTCAGTTTGAATTTGTCTTTTGGTTTGACTGCAAACAAATAAGCTTGCCTGAGAAGTGGTACAGCTTGAAGGATCTACTTCTTGACTTTTTTGTGAGACCTCAGGAGGGAAGCAAAGAGATCTTCGAGTATTTACTTCAGAATTCTACTAAAGTCCTTCTGGTTTTTGATGGTTTGGAAGGGTTGCACGGCCATGAGAATTTTCCTCATTGTTCAGCCAGCCAGCCTAACAAAGACTTGTGCCGCATGAAGGAGCTGCTTTCAGGACTCATCCAAAAGAAGATACTCAATGGCTGTACTTTATTACTTACAGCAAGAACAAAAGAAAAGGTGTGCCAGTATGTGTCCAAAGTGGATAAGACTATTGAAATAGTAGGATTCTCCCCTCGGCAGAGAGAACTGTACATAACCAAATACTTTGAAGGATTCCCCTTGTGCGACAATGCACTGAATTTAATCAAAGAGTGTGAGTACCTCTTCAGTCATTGTTACAGCCCTGTTATGTGTAGATTTGTTTGTTTTCTCTGTGAGGCAATACTTGAAATGGGAGACCAAGGCCTTCCTTCAACTCTTACTACACTCTTCCTGAAATTTGTTCAGCAAAAAATAATGCCTACGCAAACAGATGTTACAGATGTTACACTTGCACAAAACCAAGAGAATCTTGCTACGCTAGCATGTATAGCCTGGTATCTTGGAGAAAAGCACCAAAGTGCCATGAAAAGTGACCTTCTTCCTTCTAAGAAAGTTAAAGAGTTTGCTCTGAAAAATGGATTTTTCCTGCCATTTGCATTCCCCAAACATTCAGGTACAGGAGAAGAGGAATATGGGACCATGTTCTCCGATTTTGTCATTCAGAATTTCTTGGGTGCACTTCACCTTATATTAGCAGAAGGCATCAAGGACAAAAGTTTAATAAAGTATCTGTCTTTTCCATCCAAAAAGAAGAAACCTTATAACTGGTTACATTTAGTGCCTCGATTTTTGGCTGGATTGTTATTCCTCCAGGATGACACCTACTTCTGCTCTTCAAACAAGGGTGTAAAAAAATCAACCAAGAAGCAGAAAATGCTCCTGAAATATATTAAAAGGTTGCAAATAAACAACCTCTGTCCAGAGAGGTTACTTGAGCTTTTGCACTGTATTTATGAAACACAAAACAATTATCTCTTGCAGCATGTGGCCTTAAGGCTCAAGCCAGACCTGTCCTTTCTGGGCACTGTTCTTACACCACCAGATGTCCATGTACTGTCCTCTACTTTAAAAAGGTCAAGAAAAGAGTTTTCCTTGGATTTGCAGAACAGCAGTATTGACACGCACGGGCTAAAAGACTTGGTTGGCCTGAAGAATGTGACATCATTCAGGTTGGTCATTCTATATAGATAGCAAGTGTCATTCATAAAGCTGTGCATAAATGAAACAGCAGTTATAGCTATTGATTTCACATGTTTTATCACTTCACAGGGCCTCCCTCAGTGATACAATCAAGCTATGGAAATATTTAGAACAGACAAAAGACTATGAACTGCTGAGAGTGTCAACAGAAAAATTTGTTCTTGATCCCTTTAAGGCAAAGACAATGAAAGACATCAGTGACCTTTCTGACCTCGTAGAAATGCAGGAGATAATAATCAATTGGTAAGCTTGTTTATGATCAGGATCCCTCTAAAATTCTTTTTAAAGCACTATTTTGGTTACAAAATGTTTCTCATGCTCTTATTCTAATGTGATTTATTTAGTGTTCAAGATGCCTCCAGTTGCAGCAGCTATGAAATTCCTGCCGTAAAAAACCTGAGAAAACTAGAATTTGCGTAAGTGAAATGCTTCCCTGATGATTGATATCTGATTACACTTAGGACTGTCATAGGGATTGTCTACAGTGTGTACTCAGTTTATGGTAAAGCATTAAGTAAAACCCGTTTATTATTTACATTTTGCTCATATGAACTATATTTAGTAATTTACATCCAACCAAAAAAAAAAATAAAAAAGTAATTTCTGAATCCTGCAGTGATTCAGGTCAATGTGGTTCTATCAATTTTGTTTGACTTTACCAAAATTTAGCTCTTTATAATCAGGTGCAGATGTTATGTCAGTGTGCAAAATGCAAAATAGTGATCTAAATGCCCGTGAAACAATTTTTTGCCAGAAATATTCAGCTGTTCTATCTGAATATTCTGCCCCATCTAAGCTTAAGCTGTGAGAGGAAAAGGTCAGAGAATTCCTTCCAAATTAAGTATGTAGTACAGTTTTCCTAGAAGGGGGAAGATTCACTTGGAAACATTGTCTTGAAAAATGAGGTTTTTTAATCCTTACGTTTTTCAGACTGTAAAACAGCTTACAAAGGTAGACATTTCTCTCTTCTACTGCTTAAAAGCATCCCGTGTTATTTGGGTATTTGGGAAGAACTTGCACCGATGCAGTGGAGAACTCTCAGCAGGTCTTCATCTATTTCTTGCTCTGATATCTGACCAAGCTCAGAACTATAATGCTTCGCTTCTGATTTTATCTTTCTTCCTCTACTCAGCTCCTTTCCTACTTTCTTTTAATTTTAAAACTCTGGTTAAAATTCCATGTCTTTTAATTAGGCTGATCTTGTTCTGATACAAAAGGAATTCCAAATGAGATTAGCATCTGAGGGACAAATTTGATGAGCAGACGCCTGGAGCTGGAATACTGTAGTTCTGTTTATGCCTTAAGCTGCAGTAGAATGTTGATCTTAAGTTAGTTTGAATTGCCAATAACTGGAAAAAAAATTAAGAATGTTTTTTACATCTCTGCTTTCAAGATTACAATAATTAAAATGAGAAATCTGCAGAAACAGAAAAAGAACAGAAATATATGAATCTAAACCAATTGAGAGTCTTACAAAGAATATAAAAAATGGAAATGCAGATATTGCTTCTAATGAAACTTCCTCTGTACAAACAGCTCTGCTCCGTCTGACTTTGACTTTGTTGGTCCTCATCTGGAGGCTTTGGAGCAGAAATACTCCCTGCAGACTGTAGGGAATGGTTGCTTCTGAGGAAGGTGAACTGTCTGGCGTCTGGGGCTGTAGAGAAAGAGCTTACTTAACAAATTTATAACTTCTGCTGTTTCTTTTCTGACTGTGAATCAACTGCTGCATGTCTACATCTGTTTATTTTCCTCCAGTCTGGGTCCAGCGTGTGGCCTTCAGGGATTCCTAAAACTCGTGGAAATTCTGGCAGCATTTCCATCACTGCAGCATTTAGAGTGAGTAAAGCTAAAGATTAACCTTGCTAATGCTACACCTCGGCAGCCCATGATGAGGAGGGAGGTTGTTTATCCAAGAAACCCTTTATTTTCAACAGGACTACTCACTTTGATGAACAAACTGAATAACAAAAACATTCAGTGAATATAACTACAAAATGTGAATTAAGGCCCTTCAGCAACATTAGGGCACTCAGTAGTTGCTCATTCAATAGCCCTATTATCACCTCTCTGGGTATTTCCCAGTGATTAAAAGCTGATGAGGTTACTTACAGAGCCCTGCTGATTGCCCTTGTGTTTTTTATTTCTCCTTACAGGTTTTGCAAAAGACATTAAAAAGACATATTCAGCTAGTATCTGGTTTCATTCTGCCCAGGCATCTTCACGCTGTCTTTGTCCTTTTCTTTACCAGGGGCAACTTTAGAAATAAAGTTTTAAGAATTCCAGTTGCTACTAATTCTCTTTTATGACAAGTTATCTCTGAATTTTAAGCCGCTTTACTTAGAAACAACGGTAGCAGCAGTAGCCAATATTCAGTATGCTGACTGTGGGTAGATTACAGGGTTTTGAGAGTGCCTTTAGTCAATGGTTCAGCCCATAAGCCATTTCTCTGTATCTTTTTATGATATTTTAGGAAAACCACAGGGCTCCGAAATTGAAACAATCCCAGTGTATCCTAGTGTTGTCTGTCAGATTGGAAGGGGATCCAATACCTGAAATTATGATTATCTAAAATTCTTCCACCTGGATACTTGAATGAGGAAAAACTTCTAAAGCTCCTTACCTGGCAGAATTGCTGTTTAGGTAGGGATTTGTGGCTTCTGCTGCATTTGATCAGTTTTGTGTTTCTATGTGCACAGGAAATCTCATTCCAACACAGCTGGAACACAGCTATTTCAAACCATTTTAATAATCCTCAGCATATGGTGGAAGTAAGGCATTAAGTGCTACCATTTGCATATCAAAGGAAATGGGTCAAGCCTTCAACTGGGCTGTATATTTGAAAAGCAGAAAGCAACTTATTAGAGAAGCTGTGTGATGGTTGTTGCTGATTGAGGCCACTGCTGAGATGCAGGTTCTCAAGACATGCAGAATGGTCTCTAAGGTGAATAAACCAAAAAATGTGTATTAAAGGGAAAGCTAATTCTCTCTTTCCTGTCCTCATCCAGCCTTGATGCTCTGAGTGAAAATGGCATAGGAGATGAAGGAACAAAGAGTCTGTGTGAAGTCTTTCCAACACTGACATCACTGGAAACATTAAAGTAAGTTTCAAGGTTAACAACTTGGAATTTTTTTAAAAGAAGTAGCTTAAACCAAGGGTCTAAAGACACTGTGTGGTAACAATTACAGGCAAGACTAACTCATGGGCACAATAGAGCAATTAATCTATGGACATATTTAATCTGCATATTCATTAGAGAAATAGTTTAATCCTATTGCAATTCCCTATTTCCTCCCAGGGTTTATAGTTTGCCTTTTCCTGCCTTTGGTTCGAACACAACGTGTAAATTGCATTAAAAATAAAAGATAAGGTGCATATGAATTATTGAGATGTTTCTGCCAGAGCTGCCTCAAAAATTAAAGCAATGCAGGGAAGAACGAGGGCCAGACCAAGGCAGACATATTCTTAGGGCCACAAACATTGAAGGGCAGGAGGAAAGGCAGCAGAGTGAAGCTGAGACTCAAGGGGAGTTCACCTTGCTGCTTCTGACTTTAATGAGGGAGTGAGAGAGAAACAAGTTGCCAGTCCCAATCACCACCTCACACAATCAAGACTCCCCTCTGCTGATGCTTCAGACGACTGAATTTTTCAGTGGGAAAATGCAATTTGCTGATATGTTTGCCTCCTTTTCAACTCTTTGCTCTTGAAACCATCCAATTTCACAGTTGTATGATGTCGTTAGGCTTCCCAGTGTGAATGTGTGGGGTTTTTTGTTGTTGTTTTTTTTTAATTTTATTATTATTATTATTATTTATTGAAAACACAAGTTACTGCTCTTCATTTTTCAGAGAGTTGCCAAATTTAACCAAGAGGATAATCATGTTTGTAAGAAAAGATTCTTGAAATTCAGTTTTATTTCAATTTCTGAGCAAAGCTCTCAGGTTAATGGTAACTTGAGGCTTTGTAGCATCACACTGGTTTTTCAGGACATCTAAAATCAATTTGTTACACATTGTAATCAATTAGAATAAATGTGTGCAGCTAACAAAGCAATTTCATTTACTGTAGCTTGTCACAGAATAAGATAACAGATGTGGGTGCAGAGAAACTAGCTACAGCTCTTCCCTCCTTGTCTTCATTAACAACACTAAGGTAAGTGGTTGTGTCCTGTTGGGTTGTTTTATACAACATTCCTCACTGTATCCATCAGAAATTACTGTAAAGAGAATAAATTTTCAATAGACAGACTTTTGATTTCATTCTTGCACAAATTATGTAGGGAGAAGGTGAATGTTTGACTCTGTGTAAATATACAGAAGCTTATCTCAGGAATGTAACAAGAACTATGCTGGTTTGTAAAGCCAATTCATAATACCTGGTAACCAATAATGCCTCATACAAATACACACCTATAATCATGGTCTACTGCAAACTTATGCAGAGCTTACTAAGCCAGCAACGGGCTACTGTGTGTTTGCAGATAGGGGATTAATGGTCCATCCCACTTGGTTAAAATATCTGGCATAGGCCTGAATGAACTGTCACTGGAATGTAGGAAACTGGTCTGCAATTCTGGAATAGTTTGCTCATGTGGAAATCTTCTGAATGCAGTGTGCCATAGCTTTGATCCTCATTTTCTTGCAGATTTTTAATTTCCTCCAATGTGTCAGGAATTTCTCCTTATTCATTAAAAATCCTAGATCTGTTTTTGCCATAGCTGTGTAAGCTGGAGGATATATATGATCTTGTGCCTTGATATAGAAAACGTGGAAATGTTTTAAAGATTACCTGCAATTAGATAAGGATAACTTGGGCATACCAGTCATACCTAGAATTCTTTGATCTAACACAGAGTCTGTTTGTGTTGACCATTATTCAATTGTGACTGCATCGGTTTTGTTGTCTGCAGCTTATACAACAACAGCATTTGTGATTTTGGAGCAGAAAACCTTGCAAAAATCCTTCCTGCAATGGCTTCTTTAAGAGTGCTAGAGTGAGTATGGAATCTATTGAAACGGCCCAGGAGAGCTGATTTGTGTGGATACTGAAAACTCACATCTTCAAGCTATAGGCAAAAGAGACAAAATTTGAGGGGAAAAATCTTTTTTTAGTGTGGCTGTGCTATCCTTACAGTCCGACATTTGTTGAGACAGAAAATTGTAGAATTTGCCTGAAAATGTGGAGCGCAGAAGGAAATTCTTGAGAGGGCTGATGTGGTTCTAGGAAATGATGAAGACTTGCCTTGTTGCTGCCTATCCTTATAGAACAGCAGTGCATCACTACCAGCCTCACGTGAAGGGGAAAAGCACATAATTGGAGTACACATAGTCAGGGCTTAACAAGCAGTTCACCACAGATGCTGTGGAACCACAAGAGATGTAACTTTCTAATTCTCTAAATACTTGGTAATAAATGATTTTAGTTTGTTTTTTGAATCATGGTTTTCTTTTTTTTCCCCTCATCCACACTCCTGTAGTATTTTTGCTTTTGAATGAAATGTTTGATGGTACTGCTACATGATCTGACCTGAATTAACAAGAGGTTTGTTGGTTTTTTTTCCCCCTCAGCATTCAGTACAACAAAATAACTGGTGTAGGAGCCCAACAGCTGACTGACAGCCTAAGAAAATGTCCCCATATTAAAAATTTGGTGTAAGTCTCCTGCTATATTGTTTGCTGTGTCTTCAGTTTGTAAATCGGGTGAGAATTCATGCTAATGCTATCTAACGTATTTGTCAGATTTGTAAGAGGCGTTAAGAGAAATCACTGAAATACAGAAACAGTCACACAAATGCTAAAAATGAATCGCTGGTTTCAGTGGCTTTAAGTCCCCATTGCCACAGGCAAGCAAGCTTGTCCTGCTTTAAGCACAGTTGGCACTCCACTGTTTATCTCCTACCCTTCCAGTGCACCTGATAACTGTGCTGCAGGACTTGTATTTGAAGGAGAAACAGTGAACAGCCATCATTAGAGGTTAAATAGACTGACACTGCCAGTGCACGTTCAAAGGAAGTTTGATAGGAAACTAACAGTTAGGGAGACAGGACTGTGGTGTGTCCTATAATCACAGTCAGCTGTGGAATGGGGGAGTGGACTGCTTACTTTGAAATGAAAATGTATTTTCCTTTGTTCCTTAGCTTAAGTAATGCTACAGAATGATTCCGGGGGGCTGAAGACAAGCCAAAACAGAATTCTATTACCTCTAACAACAACAACAATATATATATATGATGGAAATAAAACCCTAAAAAACTGTGGAATTAATTATGTTTTAAAATCTTTTGTTTTTTTCTGAACTTGCTCTTACAGGATGTGGAATCCTACAATTCCATATGGAGTTCTTGAACACCTTCAGCAGCTGGACTCCAGGATCAGTGTGTAGCTTCAGATGATCCTATAAAGGTAATGTAAATCCTGGCTCCTTGAGACAGGAGACAGATTTGGTTTTGTGGCAGATTCTCACAGGTCCCACTGGCAGCAGGCACAGTAGCAGCATCTGTGTGTATGTGGCTACATAAAGACATGCTGGCACAGATCAGTATCACAACAGATCCCCTTTTGCCCAGTCATCTTGATCCCCTCTCTTCCCTAACGCCAGCACTAGCAGACTGCAAGAGCTGTAAGAATGAACTCCATCAGGGGCTCCTGGTTCAGCCCAGTTCAGTGCCTGGCAACAGGCCTGCAACCCTCCTATCTTCAGTTGCACAAAACTAAATAGATCTGAGTTCTTCTCATGACTTCTGTACTCATTAGAGATGGTTTTGTGCTGTTTTTTTAGTGAAGTAAGTCACTTCACTTCTCCTTTGTTTAGTACAAATCCACCACAGCTGTTTTTTTTCCTATGAGCCTGTGCCTGTACTGTACTCAGAGCAAACCATTCATTCCTACATTCCTCTTTGTCAGTACGTTTTGTGCCGTTTGCCCACTCCACTGGCTGCCGCTTTCACTTCATTGATTTTGCCTGCACAGCCTCAAGGATCCTTGAAATAGTTACATCCTTAGCAAAGAACAGCTTGCTGATCATTTCCAGGATTGGACTTGACATCACTGATCCAATGGAGCTGCAGCAGGCAGTTATGGGAAGTTATGATTTCATTTAGGATTTCTACTCCTTGTTCTCCACTATGTGCTTCCTCCTGCTTTTGTGGAAAAAAAAAAAAAATAATAATATAGGATGAATCAGTGAAATGATCTCAGCAAGGATCAAGAAGTCAGAGTCAAGTCAGACAACAGAGACTCTCCAGCTTTCTTTCAAATGACTAACATCACGCTGCAGAGTGGTTGCCAGGCTGCTTAAGCAGCTGTTCTGAATAGTCCTGCAGTTGCCTTTGGCCCTGAAGCCATGCAGGAGCACCGAAGTTTTGTATGACTCTTGCTCTCAGTGCACTAATCACCACATGCAGATTTATCTATTTTTATAGCTCTCATCGGGCTACAGGTTTTGGAAGATTCAGATGCCATGCCAGCTTCACAGACTAGCAGAACAGAAAAGCTGTAGTGATTATTAATATTTTAAATAATTAAGCTGACAGCACAACAAAATACCAATGCTTTGTCATGTTGAAAAGTCGTACCTACTTCAGAGAGAAGTCATTAAGGATCACAACACTGCTGGGAAGCCTCATAAGGGCAAAATTTTCTCTAACTCCTTGCATCTCCCTCCACAACTGTTCTCTTGTGTTCGCGGTGCATTTTTTGGCACAGGTTACCACATTAGTGCAGTATCTGAGCATGTGAGGGAGCATTTATCTTCATTAGCACTGAGGATTGGCAGCATCAGGAAGTCTGGATCCTGTCTCCCATCTGGAAACATCCAGCACCCACTGACCCACTGCTGTGTTTCTTTGGAGCTCGTATCTGCAGTCTTGGCAATGTTGATGGCGATTAAGCTGACGTGCTTTCATCTAATATCCTGTTTCCATTGTTTCACAGGTAACATAAAGAAGAGGGGAAGGTCTCTTCTGTGTTTTCCTATCTTACCACTTCGAACTATCTTACCATTACGAAGCAGGAATTAAATGCCAACTTTTGTGATAGTGGCAACATGAAAAAAGTCACATTGAACCTTCTGGGTGATGCTTGAAGTGGGTGAATGATGGAGTTCACAGTTTTAAGAGGTCATTTAAAATTTAAAGTGCTTTTTAAAAACTCAGTTGCGTCTCCATTGAATTGATGAACAGTTAAGTAACACGTTTCACAGAAGAACAGCTGGATAATTTTCAGTATTAAAAGTGAACAGGAGTCACCAGCTTATTGACAGTAGAAAATTCTATCGATTCATCAAAGTGTATGCTACAAGCTGCTGCACCCTCAATGTCTGAAGTCATGAGAGATGAAAACTAATTGTTTTGTGGTGCCATTGATAAACACAATTAAGTTTGTTTTGATTTTGGACTACCAAAGTTGAAGTTTTCACCTGTAAGTCTGGATTAAATGAAAGTGTCTGGATCAGAAGCACAAGAACGACCAGACTGGAAAACAGTCTGAAATTGTAATGTTGTCCTTGGGAATCTAGAAGTGGCTCTTTTCTTCATGCTCATTATCAGTGCTGCCTTAAGAAAAGTACTTTTTATCAAATAATTGTCTTGTTACAGATTCCTTCAAAAAGAGTTGAGGGAGAAGAGAGATGAATTAAACTGAAAAACTATCAGGGATTTTTCTGATAATGTGACAGAAATCGAATTATATACAAACAGCTCCAGCCTAGTGCACGGAAATCTTCAGAGTGACATCGCTTAAAGGTTTTGACTCTGTCACAAATGGAAACTTTACAAGTGTGAGGATTTTTCTGTTTTTTAGTGAAAGAATTTCACTAAACTGAAAACAAAACTGGATTTCTGAAACCAATTTTTCTTCTCATTTATATATCTGAATTGAGATTTAATTGTCACCCGCAAGTGTGAGACTAAATGCATGAGCATCTATTCTATACTTGAAAATGAAATCACTACTTTGTATTCTTGATGCGGTCTGCTTCTGCAGAGTTAAGAAGAATTAGGCAATGACGGGAAATCGCGTATTTCAAAGAATTAACGTGGATCTGTGCTGCTGCCCTCAGTGCTGTTTGAGCCAAATCCTGCTCCTGCTGAAAGCAATAGCAAAACAGTCTCCTTTTCTTGCACTTCAGCCCTCTGAACACAGGAAAAAATAATAATTGTACAGAGGCAACTGTCTGGACTAGCTCTCTGCATGTCTAGATACAAGCTGGCGACAGGAAAACAAAGTTGGATGGTAGAAGCTAGCATCCAGTATGCTACAGATTGAGAAGGGAGGGCTGTGTACCTCATTTTGCTAACTTGATCAGCAGCCTCCTTTAAGTCTCTTTTGCTAGGAAGCACTGACAACACTGATCAAACATCTTTGCAAATGAGCATCTCTCAACTCACCTTCCAAATATTCTGTTACTTGGTTTGAAAACATCCCCAATTTAAACAGTTCAAAACCTCAATCTTTGTTCTTTCCAGCAATTTCTATGTTTCCACTTACATTTCTGCACCTGCAGAATCTTGACAATTTAAAGAAAGAAGGAAGGAAGGTCATCTAATTTATTGTTTCTGTTCAAAAAAGTCAGGAACCAGACCTAGCACATGGAGGTAGTAGTGCAGGAGGGCAAGGTAAAAAACACTATGGAGAATGCGATTTTAACTAGAAAATTATATTTGCCTTCATTATCTGCTTCAGTCTTCAAGTTCTAGCCAGAGGTGTGGAAAAACCTCATTTATGTTCCCCTCTTTAAGCTGCTTGAATGGGAAGCAGCTTGAGCTAAATTCAGTGTGACATTCCCATCAGCCTACAGCTCTCCAGCCACGCAGAGCTACAGTGAGCACTCCTCTCGGCTTCCTTGGACCACACTTAGGATGACAAATGCCCCTGTAGGGATAAATTCTGCAACCAGGCTTCACTGTGACTGAATCTAAGAATATGCTAACTATAATGGAGGCAGCTGAATGTTACAGCACTCTGCACTGCTAAAACAGTGTTGGGTATTCTACTGTTCTCTTAGTGGGAGATGTAGGCTTATAATGTAGATTGTGAATTGTGATGCAGTGTTTTGGTCATCTTTATACATCTTTTTTGAAAGTATTAATAAAAGTGAGTATTCCTTTTTACAGTAGCTTGCAGTACTCATTGAAAATCATTTGTGTTTTTCTCTCTGGGAAACTGGGAAACCGCTGCTGAACATGATGACAAGCTGAGGGTTCTCCTATTCCATGGTAATGGCAAGCAGCGTGCAAGGGAGACAGCGCAGTCCTGCTGGCAGTCAGCAGTACAGTGGTCTGGAAATGGAGAAATAATGCTTTCTGAACAGGCTGTGGGATCTTGCAAAGCCAACTGGTAAACTGTGCATCCACAGGTAGAAGGTATAAAAGTGTCTGTCTGAAGCTGCCTGCTGATAACAGAAAAAAATCATAGAATCATAGAATGCTTGGGCTGGAAGGGACCCCAAGTCCATCATCCAATCACCAAGTTCCAACCCATTTGGGGCTTTTTGCATTTACAAGTTTTTAAATTAATCAAAGGCTGGACGCTCTTGTGTAACAGAGCTCATGGAAAAGACTTCCATCGCTTGCGTGCCTTATGTGCAGAGGACAGAATTCACTGGCTACCCTGAAAAAAATCAAATCTGCATTCCAAAATATCCTTTGAGGATGAGAAGAATGCTTATCTTGTCTCATTGTGCCCAAATTCTTTTTGTTAGACCTGAAACCTTGCTAAAATGCTACGGCTTGTTTTATGATGGCGATCGGATGTACTTGTAATCTGATCACTTTCCCCATCATTAAAAACTAAAGTTGAACTGTTCTGAAAAGTCAGAAATCTTGATCTTCAGTTTAGAATCTCCAAGGTGAATTACTTGGTGGAAACTGTATTCCTTAATCTGTGAGTCACACAGCATAAACCCACTGCAGAGAACGATTACCAAGCAGCAGATGCTGTAGAACCCATAATGACAAACTAAACCATGTCCTTAAAATGTCATACGTGTGACCCTGAATAATTGGTGTAAGCTATTTCTGAACAGTATTAAAGTCACAACTATACAACCAGCAGACATGCTGCCTTTGGTAGCAAAATTCAGTATTCCTCGTGTTAGTCCCAAATGGGCACACAAACACAAACTTAACAAGTCTTTAGACTTGTCTGTTCTTTACACAGGTGCCTACATGAAAATTCAGAAACGTTCTTGATACATCAACTTGGTTTAGCAACTGCACTGTTATGAAAACTCAACCTTGGAAGATATGTAGTAGGACAAAACCAGCATAATAGCTTCTTTTTTTTTTTTCCCCCTATACATTTTCCTTGCAGAAGGACTTTCTGTATGCTGGCCATCTCAGTAATCAGGAACTGCTTTTAGCATGAAAAGCATTTTCATGTTATTTTCTGTTCAAATGGAAAAAGAACCACGCCAACAAATGACTCCTTACTCTTTCATGGAAAAGGTCAATCTTTATTGTATTGCTTTCAGATCTGTACATAGGAACATGAACTTAATCTGCAAATTATCTTGTGTTAGATAATGAATCCACCTAACAAAAGTCAGTCTCTGATCTGTTTCAAAGCTTGCAATTTAAATAAAGTCTCTTACTAGTGCACTTCTTGTCATAATACTGCCCTGAACAGAACCCTGCGGCACTCCTGATGTGTTCCCCTGAGAAAGCACAGATGTGGAGCTATTGGCTGGTAGAGTTTTCAATGTGTGAATGCAAAACTTGCTTAAGCAGCATGTACAGTGTGTCCATTCAGGTGAAATGGTATTTATTGAAAAGTTTATCAAATCTGAGTAATATGTTGATTTTCTTTGTAAGAGAACATAGCTTATATTATTTGTTCACAGAGTCCATCCCCGAATTACCTATGGAAGCCCAGTACTGTACATGAATCACAGCAGGTAGTGCACACTCAAGAGGCAATGGTCATGAGGAAAAAGTCACAGCTGACAAGGTCTGATAACAACTCTTCTCATTGTCCCCTTGTCCTTCTTTTCACCTCTACACTTCAGAGTACAGTTTCTTTCCATAACTTGATCCATTAACCTGGTCATAATCCATTTCAGGTGTTCAATGAATCTGTTTAAAAAAGAACACATAACAAATACATAGTAACCCTCCAGACCCACACTGAACAGAGAAGTCCTGTATGTTAGATACAGCACCATACCATCTGTTTCTTTCAAAAGTAAATCAATCAATCAATCAACTGTTTGAGGTGCTCAGGTGCTGCACTGACTGCAAAGAACTCCAGGAGGACCTCATAACACTGAGTGGGCAAAAAAGGGCAGGTGACCTTTGATGATGTAGTATAATCCAGTTAGAGAGAAATAATCAAGACCTGCCTATGTGACATAGGTTGGAGCTGACAACTATAGCTAGGCATCACCACCACCAACTCCCTGAGCTCAGTATCTCAGCTGTGGCACACAAAAAAGCCAAGAAAACTTTGGACATCATCATGAAGGACACTGAGAAGATGGTGAGTACCATAAAAGCCACTGTGTGCCTGCATCATGAGTACTACGTGCACTTCTGGTTCCCATATCTTGGGAAGACCAAGGTGTAGCAAAGAGGGTCAGACAAGAAAGACTAAACTGCAGAGATCCAGGGGAAGGACCAGTTCGTTTCAGGTTTAAGGGGCTGGGAGAAGGAACTGGAAAGCAGCTGCTACAGGGCCGGGCAGCACCATGCCCTCTAACATCTCTAGTTCTTCCACTGGGGATGCGGAAAGCACAAAGGGAGCACTGCAGATTTTGGCCAAGTTTATGTGTGCTCCCAAATGGCATCGCCTGCCACAGCTGGAGCCAGAATGCAGGCAGGGTGGTCCTGGTATGACTTGTCCCCATGTTACTCTGTGCCACTTAGCAGATGCAAAGCTGGGAGTGAGAAGCTCTTCTGTGGTCAGTGAGGTTCTTTTCTCAAATGCTTAACACTACAGTACCCTGCTAACAGCAATCATATGCTCAATATTGTGACTCTCAAAGCAAGGGGAACAGCAATTCTAAAAGGTTACAAATGTGATGTTATCTGAACAAACACAGTGGTAGTTCTGAGAGATGGTTGTTCTGCGTTGCAGATCAAATCCTCAGCTGACTTAAAAATAAGCACAACAAAACGTGCTGGGCTTCCAAAGCAAAGCATAAAGCTGTCCAACTTGTGTTTCAAACGTGTCTGCAGGGCTGCTAGACCAGGACAGTAATTTGTGGAGGCAGATATGATACAATTGACCAGGATATTCAATCTTGTATTTCTGTTCTGTCCTTCAAATTTTATGTGAACCTAATCCTTAACAGAAAACAAACAAACAAAAAAAAGCCCCTAAAAATCAAAAGATAACAGATGTTTTTCAGATCTCAGAAGCAGTCATCCAACAGCCTGAACATACCTGCCAGCATTCAACAGCACAGCTGGTAGAGCACAACTTCAGCATTAAAAGAAGAAACAGTAGAAGCAGCCACGGCATTTCTGTTAATTCTATGGGTGAAGTCATTGCTCATGATGGGCTGGACCAAAGGAAATGCAGTGACCCTGCTCTGCATCCAGGCATTGTCTGCCTTGTTTCCAGCTTTCTAAAAGTATTTCAGATAGTGCGGCCTATTTGGGCCACGCTGCCTGAGCGAGCCTCAGGTCCTTGTTCCTGGCCCTTCAAAGAGAAGCCTTAACTCACTCACCTGAACTAGAGCTTTACACAGCAATGCATCATCTGGTGCATGTCATTATTATCCATTGTATCCTTGTCATATATGGCTTCCGTTAGCCCTTGCTTTTTGTATTATGGGTAGATGGACCATACAATTCTCACAGAGGAAAACAGAACAGAGCATGAGGAGCCACAACCCACTGCGACAAAGGGGAAAATTGCTGTTTAGCAGTTGGGAAACAACACCCTTGACAGGATGAAGGGAAGTTCAGCAGTGCATTCCCCATAGCAGGTCACAAAACTGATGCTTCTCAGCACCCATCTCCAGAGCAAGATGGAGTTGGTTATTCATGGCAAAAGAAAACCCTGAGCAGTGGGACCCCTACTGTGGCTTTCCATTTCCACTGATCCCATTCCACACCAACCCCCCACCAGGCCTTGAAAAGGAAGATTTTTAAACCCCTTAATGCCAGTAGATGGTGGAGTTTCTACAGATGCTTATGGAATTCTTGACAGAATGCTCAACTTCTTTAAAAAAAAAAATCTTAGAAGAAATGCATACTATTCTACATGAAGAGAATGCAGTTTGTAAATTGAATGAGTAACTTTGTGTCAGATCTTCCTCAGTAGTTTCAAGTGCCTGAAAGAGACATTGATCCTCCTGTATTCAGGTCTCAGCTGCACAACTTTTCCAGAAGTTTCCTGTTTGATTCTGTGACTGATTTCAACTCCTGCTAGCTCTTTTTAATGAACTCTGATCTCATACCAGGCTTGAAAAGTAGACAGGATATATATTAGAAACACTTCTTGTTCCCAGAGAACATCCCTCAAACTTTTCACCTGTTTTTTCCCAACTTTGTGGCCAGACAAAACACCCGGGCTCTATAACTGGGAAGAGAAAGACCATCTGAAAACTTCCCTGAAGAAATGGAAAGCCTCAGCCATCTCTGCGTACCACTTATATATCAGTATATAAATGAGCATCATTACGAGGGAAGAAAGACAAAGAGTTGGACGGGTCAAATATGCATCCTAAATTTCTCTAAACAAATTATTCTTCTATTTTAGGATTGCAAATGTCATCTGAAACAAAGTGCTGTTTTGCCCATTCTCAAGAGAAAACAAACAAAAAGAATCAAACTGAATTCAACCTGCCAGGCTGTGGTTAGCAGCACTGAACGGACAGTTCATTATTCAGCCACAATTCTTTCTTCTTTCCATCTAGGACAGAACTGCTGGAATATGAGTCTCCTTACAGCAGAGCTGCCAGGTGAGTTTGAGCATTCAGCTTCTAGTAATTTTAGTAACACCTAAGAGTTCACAGCTGTGAAAATTCCAGCTGTTGCTCTTAATGCTGTCATTATTATAACTGATAACAAAATAGACAAATTATCCATCTCATGGAGTCAATGATTCACCTTTTTCTTTGGCAAGGAGATTCCTACAAATAAGGGAAGCGCAGAGTGAAAATTGAGAAGGTTAAAAAAAGTAACAGATCACTCTGCTCATTATTTGTATGACTGCAAGTCAGGGAAAGTTCTAATGCATTTATGTGCATCCTGGCATGGCTGGTGGTAACATTCTTCTGATCTGCTCCTTTATGAGGCATCGCAGTTTCTGAGATGGAAGAGAAGCACAGCTGAGGTAAGCTCACAGAAGCTGCCAGTGGCAGACCCAGGCAGGAGCCCAGCATGCTTATTTCCTTCCCCACTGGACCACACTGCCTTCTGCAGACGCTGAGCCCTCAGCTCTAATTGGCACTACTTCGATAAGCTGATGAGTGCAGCTATTTCTTTGACTGATTCGGGATTTACATGCTGGCAAAGAGCAGAAGTGCTGAGTCACAAGCTTTTGGGTGCTGGATTCTGCTCATCAAAGACATATGCTGTAATTCATTTTGTAAAAAAAAAAAAGCAAAACAAAACCATAGGTAACACTTGCACAGTAAAATTATGTAAATTGAATATTTCCAGTTTGGTTTCATTATCAATTGCTCATTATCCCTTTGATTAAAGTACTTTGTGATGAGTCACATCTGATTTTAAGGCAGTGCAAAGACAACAATCACATCACCTTATTTCAGGGGACTTGAAATATGATGAAGAATCTGGCATACCCAAGGGAAAAGGGTAGGTGCCGTGAGTCAGCTCAATCCTACTCAGCTCACACAGATGGTTTTCTCCATTTGAGAAGGACAGGAGTCTTCTTAGTTGTCTATCTTCAGCCTCTGCCACCAATTATGGTTAGAAACCTGAATGTAATTCTGCTCCTAGTGAGATTATTCAGCTGAGGTTTTCAGTGCAAGAGAGAACACAGCTCTTCTGATCCACACACTCTTTTCCTTTGAAATAAGCCTTTCCACATTGCGTAGAATGGCCTCTTGGGATTTCCTCCCTGTTCATGCATGCCACTCATCTCCTGCGTGGCAGGCAACACTTTTTAAATGCAAGCAGCACACCTGCAAGGCTTTACCTGAGGCTAATCACTGCTTTTTAGTTGTTCTCAGTAATCGCTGGTGAGTCACATGAAGAGCACTCCTTTTATTCTTAGTGCAAAGAGCGATACTCCTACCATTTCACCCCTGCTGCTAAAGCTGAGACCACTCTTTCTGCATCATGTGCTGAATCCTCAGCATGCCAGCTCAAAGTGAGCATTCCTGTGCCCATGGCTTCACACGGGGAGCCGGTGGTGACAAATACCACAGCACTGTGAAGAACTCTGTAAGCAGGATCTGAGCACAAATCCCTCCTCGTGGTGACGTGCTGAGCCTTGGCCTGCTAGCTGAATAACCAGGCAATTTGCAGCCTGGTTGCTGAATGTATAATTAAATATATAAATAGATGAAGCACAGTAATGGTGTATGCTTTGCTCTCCGGTAATTGGAGATTTGTAATTTGGTTCTCAGAAGAAACAACAATGTAAGACAACAGCTGCCAAACGACAGGGCTGAGCAGGCTGGTGCTTACCTCTGAGCATGGTGACATCACTGCCATTTCTACACATGGAGCTGATGTTGTCTTACAGTGAGAGTAGCAAGTACTTTGAAGAGCTTAACCTACTAACATAAAGGAAAATGTTAAGAAGCCCATTTACTGACATTGAAAAGAATGGTGCTCACGTCCTGTGCTCTATGAAACAATGTGCTCGTGTAGTAGGGATATCTCTTGCTTCTGGAGAAATCCCACTGCAGTTACAACAGATCCCCTGCGTGAACTGTGGCTGTTATTCTCCTTGGGTCTCCCTGAAAACCAGATGAATTCACTGTAACAAATCCTGGCCAGCAGAAAAGTCCTCTACCGTCACCTAATACAAGCATTAAAAAATGTTTATTTTCTGAATCCTTGTACTAGATGATGTTGGAGTAATAAGATCCGGAGTTTGGGGGAAGGTGTTTCTGAGGAGCAAAGGATTAGAACTTTCTGCACCAAAGATTTTGCTTAAATTTCCATTAATTATTAAGAATTTCTTCCCTGGAAGGCAGGAGATACCGGTCTGAAGGATACTTACAAAGGCTTTCGATTCCTATCCCCGTATTCAAACCTCATGTGTTGTTTGCCCAACTGAAAAGGGCCGAGGACAGCCACAGAAGCAGCACAGTGTGGGCAGTTCAGCTCTGCTACAGATCTGTGCCAGCAGAAGGGATTCTAACCCAGTCGCTTGGAATGCACCAAACAGACATGCCAGCATACACAAAATGCATGTATGCTTTTATCTGTTGTAACTGCAGTGGGATTTCTCCAGAAGCAAGAGATATGTGTGTCTCCAATGCCACACACACACTTCTGTGCTCCCACGTGGTGTTGTCCAAGCCTTGCTCACCTGTGTTGGTGCTATCCATATTCATCCAACACCAATTCCCATTTCATATTTTCTAGGCTATTGACCAAAACCTGACACTATTGCTTTATACGGAACCTTAATGGAAATATTTAGAGTTTCAGTATGAAGGACTGCATTATAGAGATGTGATTTTGCTTTTATGGTGGTTTTTTTTCATGTGGAAGACACTAAAATAGTACCGTGACAGGCAGCACTTGTGCAATGTGTTCACCAAGGTCATCTCTGTGACCTTACAGCAGAAACTCCTACCTGCATGTTTTCAAGTGTAACTTGAAAGGCATCCTAACTGGATTTTCAAACTCACAGGCGATATTTTGCTTAAACATTCTGTTGGCAGATCTGGAAACACTTAAACTGTGAACATTTTTGTTAACATCCATTTGGCACAGAACATCCTCGCTGGAAATAGTGGTTCTCTCCCCAACTGCAGTTTAGCGTTACAAAACGCCGGATCCTTACATTTCCAACGCGGTAGCGTCACCGACAGCTACAGCGGTAACAAAACGTTTGATCAAACAGACCCTCGCACTCCGATCGCCGCGACGATCCCGGGCAAAGGCTCGCAGCACCTCCGAGCCTCGGGAAGCGCAGCTGCTGCCGCAGCCCCGACGCCGCGCTGACAGCCGCAGCCGCCCGGAGAGCAGCTCGGCCCTCCCCTCGCCCCGCCGGTCCCTCCCCGCCGCTCCGAAGGCTGCGGGTCCCCGGGAGCCGCCGGCTCTCACTTACTTCTGCGGCCCCTCCGCGGCCCGGCTCGGCGGCGGCGGCGCGTTCCGGGGGCGCCGCGAGGGGAGAGGCGGCGCGGGCATCCCGGCGCCGCGCCGGTACGGCGTCACTCCAAGTAGGTGTCAAATACGTCCAGCTCGCCGTCGGTCTCGTACAGCGCCGAGCCGGGGTCGGAGAGCACCCCCAGGTCCACCAGCGCCTGGTCCATGTCCTCGGGCAGGAAGACGATGCCCACGTTGAGGACGATGTACTCCATCAGGAAGGCGTAGTACAAGATCAGCACGTTGACGAAGAACAAGCCCACGTAGAACATATAGGGCAGCACCAGCAGCGCGTGAAAGGCCCAGGACTCCAGCGAATCCAGCCGTGCCGATACCGCGGCGGGCATGCAGCCGGGGCGGCGGGCCGCGGCCCCCGGGGCGCAGAGCGGGGACGGAGCCGGAGCGGACCTGCGGGGAGAGGCGGCGCCGCCGAGCTGCGGGCGGACCGCGCGACTCCGGCTGCCGCAGCCCCGCCGCCGGCAGAAGGCGCTCCGCGGAGCACCGGCCGCCGCAGCGCCGCCGCCTCCCGGCCTCCTCCCGCCCGCGAACTCGGCGGAACGACCCCCGCGGGCGCGTTGCCGCATCGGGGCCGAGCACCTGCCCCGCGCGCTCCGCTCCTCCCCGCCGCGCCGTTCACCTCCGCGTTCCCCCCGCGCCGCTGCTGGTGGCCGCGCCTGGGGGCGGTCAGCGCGGATCGGGCCGGGTTGGGGGGGGCGTCCGTCAGCGCCTCCGCAGCGGGGCTTGGCCGTGCGGGGCTGTCCCATAGGGCTGTTCCATAGGCTGTCCCGTGGGGCTGCGGGGCTCTCTGCGGCATTCTCTCACCGCGCACAGAAGCGAAAGTGCGACTGTAAACTTTTTTTCTTTTTCTTTTTTTTTTTTTTTTTTTACACCGGTTTGATCTCGGCTCCAGCTCCAGCTGTCCGAAGCTGCTCTCCACTCGAGGTCTGCCCTCTCCCCGCTCCGCAGCCGCCCGCCTGAGGCGACGCGCGGTGTCGGAGCCCGCACGCAGCGCCCCGTTATGGAAGGAAGCAGCGCGCACCTCAGCGCCGTGTCGGCCGGTGCTGCCTTTGTTTGTTTACATTCTTCCCACCTACGGAGCTCTGAGGGCTGGCCCGCAGCACTCCCCGTCCTGCCCGGCAAGCAGCCGGCGCTGCGCTGCGCAGCTTCCCCGCAGCCCGGCACGAAGGCGCGCGCTGCCCGCGGTCTAAGCGGCAGACAGAGCGGCGCGGTGCCCGCCGGGAGCTGCAGTCCGCTCCGAGGAGCGATTCCCGGCGTGCCCCGGCCGCGCATGCGCACGGCTGTGGGTGCGCGCCGGCGGCCGTCAGCGACGTTGAGCTCCGTCCGCGGCCTGCGCCGGCCGTCCCCGCGGGGCCATGAGGCGATAAGACCCCGTCGTGCTCCGCCAGTATGTTCGGCCGCTCCCGGAGCTGGGTGGGCGGTGGGCACGGGAAGGCCGCCCGCAGCATTCACTCCTTGGACCACCTCAAGTGAGCGGGAGCCGTGAGGGGGGTGGCGGGCGGGAGCGGCGCTGCAGCTGTGGGGGCGGCGCGGGGCGGGTCAGAACCGTGCCGGGTTGTGCTGTGCCACAGTGTGCTGTGCCACAGTGTGCTGTGTCCTGCCATGCCATACTGTGCCATTCTGTGCCGAGGGGCTGCGCTCCCGGCGCTTTCCCGCCCGTGCCCTTCATGGCGGCTCCCCCCGGCTGGGTTCCACGCGGTACCGCGGTGTTTTATCCCGCAGTTCGGCCCCGCGTTGGGCCGTGTCTGCTCGCCCCGAAACACCCCCGGGACAGACGCGCTTCCGTGAGGTGGTGCCGCGCTCGTGGCCGTGGCTTTTAATTTGTAACAACGTCGCGGGTTCGTCCTAGGAAATAGAGCATGAGAGGCGATAAAAACAAGAAATGTCGCGTTCCTTTGGGCCGGGGCTGGGGGGGGAACGCAGCGCTGCGCTGCCCTCCGTGCTGCTGGGCGCACAGCTGGTAACGCGGCTGCACGTCGCAGCATCTTCTCCGAGTGCTCCGCTGGTGGAGGTGGGTCAGTGAGGCCCCTGTGACTGCTTCTCTTTCTGCTGATCAGCAAAGAATGAGCGTGGAGAGAAGCGTTTTCTAAATGAAGTTGCTGCCAATACGCATCTTACTGAGAAACGCAAAGCTGGTGGTTTTTGGTGGTTGGTCTGATTGTAAGAGCTTGAATGGGGTCTGACAGCGCTGATCAGGATGCACTCACACAAGATTTGGATCATGCAGTTGCAGTATCGCAGTGGTCTATGGCTTCTGGTCCTTACTTAAACTAGAGAAACGTTTCAAAGCAGCAAGACTGAACTGCAGTGTGTGACAGGAAAATCAAGTGCATAAAACAAACCTGAGCGCAGTGAGTGAGGCAGCAGTACTGCAGGAAGTGATCCGGGAGGGTCAGGCTGAGCACATAGTGTGCAGCATTGCAGGCAAGAGCCATGCTCAGATACAGACACAGCAGTGTTCTCATTATGAAGGCTGGTCCTTGGGTGCTACTCAGTGCTTGAGGAGTGGTAGGTCTGCCTGGGTTTGGTATTATGCTTGCAGACAAAGCAAGGATGTTGATGCAAGTCAAAAATTCAGAGAAACTGAGTTCAAGTTTAGAAGGAAAAGGTGAGAGGAATGTTTGAGGCAAGAAAAACGTAATCTCTTGTTTTCTTGTAGCCAAAGAGTGTAGAGCAAGTGATATCCTGGGTTTGCAGCAAAGAAGAATTGGGCTGTGCTGGTTATGTTTGACTTCTTACCTGAGAGCTGAAGTACATGTTTCCCTGCGAAAGCTCCAGATTGGGTTGGGTTTGTTGTGTGTGTAAGGGACCTAGCAGTCAGCCCTGGTGAGCTCACTGTGAGCTGTCTGTGTTCCTGCCTTTTCAACTCTGGCAGAATCCCACCTTGTGTTCCTCGTCAGTGAGCTGTGCAGAACTCACTGACCTTGCTGTTAAAAATTAGTTCAGTGTATAGGAAGTATATTATGGTAAGTTATGAGAGCAGAATTAACCAGGGCTGTCCCTTAGGGAACACTTTTTTTTTTTTTTAATGTTCATAAAGCTAGAGTTCTACCGAAGTTGTAAACAATATGCCTGTTTAGTGGGAGAGTTACTGCTTTTCATCAGCAGGTGTTGGATCTGAAACTTCTGTTTCTATTTGTTTGAATACAGTTAGAGATTTGCTTGAGCAGATTGGCTAAAGGCACATTGTGGTTGTTTGCATGTCAGTTTCCTTGCTAAGTGGCAATAGTTGTAGTTTAATCTGCTTTTCCAGTGGTGAAACAAGATTGCACAGCACAATCTCACAGCCTCTCTCACTGTCAGTGCTTCTGGTGGATTTTTTTGGGCCCTTGGCACTTTCGTACCCTTTGGTTAGCAATGGCGGGGCTGTTAAGGGTGTCAGAGGAGGAGGCCTTTGCACGCTGCACGCTGGTATTGGCTGCTTGTAACAGTGGTCTGAAAAGGCCATTGCTTCGCTTGCCCTGAGCTCTGAAATTGAGCTGGAATCTGCTCCTTAGGGCTGTGTTTTTGAAGAGTTTGATTGAACATGTCCTGTGCTTTCCAGCTTTGGTGGAAGGCCTCAGAACTTAAACATGATATCATTGTTTCTAAATGCAAAGAACGTTTCCTACCTGTTGCCTTTTGTTACCTCCAGTGTATTTCTGCTTGTTGCTGCTATGCTTGGTATTTTCATTGTTCCCTGATAACACAAAGATTTTTTTGCCATTAGAGCTGCATGCTGAGCATTTCTCCTGGCTTGGTCACATGCCCTGCCTGTAGCCCTGTGCCTGGAGGCTTCCTTCACAGCTGATTCATTTCCTGAAGCAGTGTCCATGCTATACGTTGTTTCCTCTGTGTGAACAATAAATCATCCCATAGCTCCAGGCAGCATGAAGAAGCAAATATAGTTAAATCTTTTGGTGTTTTTTTCAATTTCTGAACACCTGACTTTTTAAACTCATGTGTTAATGTATTTTTAAAGTAATAAATAGAAAAGCCATTAAAACTTTCTGTATCTGTGAGTTTTGTAGTGTGCTATTGCCCTGAATGTGGTCTCTAAACAGAAGAGCATTCAGAATCTTATCTGTTTCGCTAAGCTGCTGGCAAAACACTTCATCCCTCTGATGCCATTGTCAGCAGTGCTGTGACAATTCCTGGTGGGTTTTTGCTTCATCTCCAGTCCCCAGCAGAGCAACAGATCTGTCACGGTTCCTCTGAGGGTTTAGCATTTCAGAGCACAGACTTGGCTTATCTAAAATCAATGTGTAAAGATTGACTTTAAGTATTTCTGAGAAAGAAAATCTGCTTCTGTGCAGTACCTTTATTGTCATGGTGTGGGAAATTGCACGTCCAGTAGGAGGAACAAGCTTGTTTGCACTTTAGCTCTTTCATTCCAAGAAATGGATAACAGAGTAGTTTGGAAGTGAGGGCTGTGTTGCATCTCTGTGTGCCAGTGTGTCAGCAAACCAAAGGGTCTGTGGTGACATTATAGCAAGTAAATTAATTTGGCACAGTGTATTCCTGGCTATCAAACCAGTCTGGCTTCTTCAGAATGCTCCGCATTCCATCCCCACAGGAGGTTGAATAATGGTACATAAATCTTACCATCGTTTATGCTGACCACAGCTCTGCTGCTGGATGGAACTTCATTCCCAAATTTGCAATAGTGTGACTTATTGCTGTGAAATATCATCACAGTTATGAGCATTTGACTTCAAGTAGGCAGGCTGAAGTAGCTGTAGTGTCATTACTTTCAGAATTACACTGTCAGGCTTAAACTCTCCCATTTTCACTGTGTCCCGTCCCACTGTCGGTATCCACAGCAGGAACCTTGAACTGTGATCCATACATTAACTGCAGAGGATTTGTGGGCATTCATTGCTGTTCTGTTCTGGAGCAGCACACAACCCAGAGTTATCGCTGCAGGAGATGTTTGAGTCAACTCAACCTTGAATGGTTTCAACCTGAGCAGTTTGCACCCCTGCATTCAGAAAACAAATATTGATTTATGAGAGGAAAGATATGGCTGTGATCCATACGTAGTAATTGAAGCTCTTGCAGCTTTAAGGTGATGTGAAATTTCTCTAATTAGTTTACATTTTTCTTATACGATGTCTGTGTGTCAAACTCTTATGTTCTTCTTTTTTCATTATTATTATTGTATAAATGCATTTTAAAAACAACAGAGGAAGGAAGGGAGTATTTCTTGTGCTTCTGTGTACCCTCCTTTGTACGAAGAAGGGAAGTGATCTTTGGTATGTGTTACTTTGAAGAAGACAGACAGACTTGCTTGACCACGTAAAATTCAGAAACATAACACAAGCTTTTCAAACTTCATGTAGTTTTCTGCCACCTGTTGTAATCTGTACTTTTATTTGTAGACTTCATTAGACAGCCTTCAAACCTTGACTTGTGAGATAATAAAGCTGTAATTTGCCACCTTTCTGACCAGTATTTCTGAACTTGAGAGGGCAGAGAGTTGATTAAATATGGCCTGGATGAATGAATGGTGTGTGACAGTGCAGTCAAACCAGCTGCAGTCTGTGAAGTGTCACTGCTGCCAATAGAAGGGCTGCTTTCTAATGAGCCTCTTTCCAAAATTACTTCCCAGCACCTGCTGCTGCACACTTACCTGCTGCTGCTGTTTGCTGGCTTTTGCTCCTTCTAAGAAATTCCCTGAGTTGCTGTGAGAAGCACTGAGGGACAAATACTGCGTAGTTCTCCTTCCTGTGTTAGCATGTGCACAAGCATTCCCAATTCACTTGGCTGATTAGGGGTTATTCTGCTTGTCTCATTGTGCTTAACAGTTATTTTCACTCTGCTTCAGGATTAAAAGGAAATTTGAGTGTTTTAAAATTGCGCAGTGATGAGAAATATTGCTTGTACATGTGTATCTATGTTAAGTTAGGGGCCAGAGGCAACCGTGGTGCCTGTAGTAGTGGTGGGCAGTGTGTTAATTGTGCTGTTCTTCTTTTAGGTACATGTATCATGTATTGACTAAAAACACAACAGTGACAGATCACAACCGCAATCTCCTGGTGGAAACTATCCGTTCTATAACAGAGATCCTTATATGGGGGGACCAGAATGACAGCTCGGTGTTTGAGTAAGTACCTGCAGGCAGTTCAGCTCTGGCTGTGCGGAATGACGTGTTACACAGATTCCTGGTTTTCAAAGATAAATTTTTCCAAGACAGTTTCCTACTGATGGTCGTGAAAATACCTTGTCCTGTAGTAGAGAGCTAAGCAGGATCACATTCTTGTGTCATGAAACAGAATTTGCTTCTGTTAATGAGAGCTCCAACTTCAGAGCTCCTTCTATACACTGTTTCTGACTCACATCTTTTGACATAGGTACAAAAATCAAACCTAGTAGTGCTCAGATTTATTCACTGCCTCTGTTAAAATGAAATGATGCTCATTTGTTCATCATAGTTTCTGTGATACTCCTAATGGATATCTTGTTCTAGCTACGATACGTAACATATATTAGATATTATTTTAATCCTTGTAAAATAGTGTGGTAGTAAAAATAACTTGAAAAGGGGTATTGATTCTTCCTATCTGTATTGTAGCTTCATGAAATTTTTCCTGGCCTTCTCTACTGGAGGGAATTTTAGCAGTTTTCTCCTTCTTTTAATGCAAATAAAAATATAACAAGAAACAAACCAACAGAAAAATAAAAGCTGTAGATACATATTTGTGATGACCTTCTAGGAAAGAGACCGTAATTTTCCTGTTAAATTATCTTTTTGCTCCTTGTCTTCTGGGTATTTGTTTATAGCTTACAATTCTTGCTTCCTGTTTGGTTGCACACTTAATGTGGTATTAAAGATAGGCAGTTGAAAATAGTGATTTGAGGCTGATAGCAGAAACTGTGGTTTAATGAATGCAGATGGAAGACCACGGGCAGGAAAACAAAAAACAAAACACCAAAAAACTTGTGATCAGAAGTCAGATCCACAGTGTTGAAGACGAGGTGGATTAGCTTAATAGGGGTACATGAGTATTAAACAAAACAGGCTTTGTTTAGAAGCTTTTCCCTTCAAAACTGTGAGTGCAAGTTAGGGAAGTTATCTGATAGGTTGGTTATACATAAATAACATAACTCTTGTGCTTTGATGTTGTTTTACTGCATAATTTGACTGTTTAAATGTTCTAGGTTTTGAGGGTTTTGAAGATAAAGCTTTGCACGATATTTTTGCATAAATGTAGATCATGCTGTTTGTCCAGTGTGCTTTGAATTATCTTTGATGTTAGTAAAATCATGTTCTTGTTAAATACAGCAAGTGACTTGATGGCACCTCTTTATTTTAGCTTCTTCTTGGAGAAGAATATGTTTGTTTTCTTCTTGAACATCTTGCGCCAGAAGTCCGGCCGTTACGTGTGTGTGCAGCTGCTGCAGACTCTGAACATCCTTTTTGAGAACATCAGTCATGAAACATCGCTGTGTAAGGGCACCTTTTGGAACTGCTTAGGATTAAATGATCAAAATCTGATTTAATACGCTTTCATACAATTTAGTTCTAGTGCCCCTTCAGAACAGTTTCTATGAATTCCTAATATTCCTTTTAGTTAAACACTGTTGAAAATGTTGTAATTTGACTCTAGCTTGCCTTTTAATCTGAATTTTCATTAATGCAGTGGTTTGGTACTTCTGAAGCGTTCTATATGTTTAAAGGTGTTCTTTAGGTCAGCAGATTAGTCGTGGTCAGAAATGTTTGCGTTGATGCTGCAGGTTATGCAGCAGAACTCTGTCATCTAATTTGTACTGGAACTGTTCTCCCTACTGGCATTCAGCCCACTGTGTTTACTTCAGTGTTTTCAGAAACAAAGAGGAGAGAGAATTAATTATTGGTTAAAAGTGTTCTGTGACTAGCAAGAGGAGGAAGTGCATGCCTAGCATGTGAAGGCCTTTGGAAGTATATAATTTTGGGGGTGAGGGGGGAAGAATTCTGCATGTGTGTGTTACAAGTGTTATTTAGTACTGAACTAAGGAGGGATGGTCTCTTCTCAATTAACAGATGTTCTTGGCAGTGAAGACACCTGCAGGGGAACAGTAAATCACTGTTTCTGCATGCAGCCATCACTTGGGTTGTTTAGTTGTTACCTTGAAGCACTGGGTAGCTTGTTGCTAGCTGGTGTGTTAAATGCAGTTACTTACATACTGATTTGTTTTAATTAATTTCTGTAATGTCTCTTATTTTTCAGACTACTTGCTATCAAATAACTATGTGAATTCTATTATTGTCCATAAGTTTGACTTTTCTGATGAGGAGATCATGGCATATTACATATCATTTTTGAAAACTCTTTCCCTGAAACTCAACAATCATACTGTGCATTTCTTTTACAATGAGGTAAGTAAGAAAAGGAGTTGCTGTATAATGATGAGAGGGCTTTAATTAAAAAAAAAAAAAAAAAGCACTGAAGACAGTTTGGCACATTTTTTTGTTTAGTCTTCTGTCTAAACTTGTCCAACTTGCTTAGAGTCATCTCTGATCATAGAAAAATTGTATTCTCATTAAATATAGAAGTGACTTTGACACCTCTTTGCTTTAGCATTTTCTTGGAGAAGAATACCTTTGTTTTCTTGAACATCTTGTGTCAGAAGTCTAAACTTGTCTAATAAATGATTTGTCCTCAATTTATTTTAGTCTCAATGATTGAGAATGAAGTTGTGAGGATCTCTGCAGAAGCATAGTAAAGAAGGTTCCTAAGATAGTGTTAAACTGGACTGCTTGAGCAATTCTGAAGTCTGCTTCATTGAGAATTCAGCTTGTTTGAGCCTTGTTTTCTGTTTCTCCACTTGACTTTAGGAGGCTTAGTTGAAGTCTGATAAGAGCTGATCAAAGGCTGAAGGTGAAATAAGCTTATCCTTGCTCCGTGCCAGTTTTTGCCAGAAGAGGGCGTGAAAGCTCTGAAAGTGTGCAGAGCTAACATGAAAACCTCTTGATGCTCGAAGCAGTTGATTGTAATTCAGAGCTACAGAGCCAATTGACTGTGCATTGTGAAATAATTTCAGTTACTTAAGTTGAGAGTAGAAGTATTTTAGCAGTGCACAGAAAGCGTTCTTCATACAGAATTCCAGCAGGTATATTGTCCATGTCGTGGTTAATTCATTGTGCTTTCTTTTCTCTTGCTGCAGCACACGAATGACTTCGCTTTGTACACAGAAGCCATTAAATTTTTTAACCACCCAGAAAGCATGGTCAGGATTGCTGTTAGGACTATAACTTTAAATGTCTACAAAGGTATGCTTTCTATATCTAAAGAAATGGCACGTGTGAGGGGTTTTGTTTATTTTGTGGGATGTGAAACTTCAGCATGTTGATGTGCTGCAGGTACACATTTTGATTTTTATGAAACAGAATGTAAGCCTGTAGGTGTACTTGTAAACAGTACTATCTCACGTGTGAGACTGATTTAAAAAATGCACTGAAAGAGTACCAAGCTTACATGAGGAACTTTAGTTTATCTTCCAGTAGAGATTGTGGTGTGGATGAATTTAAAAGCAAAAGAAATTTGAGAACATAAAGTATGTCGGGTTTTTTTAACTTACTTATAAACTTGAGTTTTATAGTATATAAAGCAGTGAGTTTACTGGTGGTATCACTTCATTTCAAAGTGCAATAGAATATGACTGTAGCATTCCTAGGTACTGCAGCCACTCCAGTGTGAAGAAACAGACCTAGATCGTTTCTAGAGGTGCCCAATGAAAGCAGTAGCTAATTGCTGTACTGGGCATTCCAGTTGGGTATAAGGAAAATAATTGCATTGTGAGAATAGGTAAACACTGCCACAAGTTTTCCTGAAAAGGTGATGGATCTGTGTTACTTGAGATCCTAAAAACTCAACGAGGCCCTTAGCAGCCTGGTTCGAATGAGAAGTTAGCCCTGCTTTGAGAATGGGTTTGCACTACCCATCCTCCAAAAGTCTCCTCTCACTGAATTTTTCCCTGAATCTATAAACCATGTGAGAGACTGAAAATATCAGTGACTTCTGTGGAAAAAATAGTGTATATGCATACTGTCCACTCCTGGAAACAACATGCTTTGTAGATAGTAGTATGAATTATGAAATATGTTTGTGCAGTGTGTATTTCTTTTCAATAGGTTTTTAATAAAACTGCATTTTGAATTTAAACAACTTTCCATCAAGTAAAGATTTGATGATGGTTTTCATCAGAGCGTAAGATCTTTTTTTTAGCGTTATGACAACTCACATTACAAGTAGCATCAATGGCAGGCTGGTTCTTTGTAGCATTGACTGCTAGGGACAGGTTTTGTTTTGGACGTTGAGGAAGAGGTACTTGGTACTTGTTTTTTGCTCATCAGCTATAAAACCAAATGTGTGCTCACAGAGCTAAGTGCAGATTTCATATCCTGTCAGTGTGTGTTTACATGACTGAATGCTGTTATGGTAAAAAATAGACTTCTAGAATTTTGTAGCAATATGAAGGTTAGAGTAGGAAAACAGCTCAGATATTCAGGGTTCATAACTTTCTGATGATCCATTTGCTTATGTTCTGATCTAACTCCTACCCTGTATCTTTTAGTTTAGATGCTTTGTGCTTTAGCTTCTTAAACCCTTTTGGAGGATGTCACTATCCCAGTTCCTAATCCTGTTAACTGTTGTCTGTTTCTTTTGCCCTTCCTTCACTGATGATTCCCGTGTTCCTTAATGCAGTGTCATGTAAGTCTTAACTAGCTTCACTTTCAGCATTACTGCTTTATTCTTCCGCATTGTTTTCTTTTTATTAAGGAATGTGCTAAAAACTCTTTCTGAATTCCACTAGATTTGTCTTCAGACATGTAAATATATCAATATTAGGCTCTTTCAAGCCAATTAAGAATTGATGCGATGCTTTTGTAGATGTCCATTTCATGCATAAGACCATCTCAGGTATATACTCATTTGAAAAGCTGGCATGTAATCAAAATTCAGAAGGTTCTTTGTTTATATTTATTTTTAAAATCCTTAAATATAAAAGGAGTGGAAACTGATTTTCTTTCTCTTACAATTTCTCTGCAGTGGACAACCAACCTATGCTGCATTACATTAGAGATAAAACTGCAGTCCCTTATTTCTCCAACCTTGTCTGGTTTATTGGAAGCCATGTGATTGAACTGGATAACTGTGTGCAGACTGATGAAGAGTAAGCTTTTTAAAATGTCATTTATTGAATGGAAATGCTTTTCCCAGACATTGATGCTCACCTCACTTTGTCTGCAGTGGTCCACCTCAGACAGTAGGTGTCTGAGACAGTTTGCAGACAGTTGAAGCTTTTTCTTTTCACAGATTTATGCTATCAGTGCTGTGGATTAAGTGGTCAGTGATGTCCTCTATCTGTACTCATGTCAGTACAAGTAAATCATTCTTGGACAACGTGCCTTTTCTTCAGCTTTGTTTTAATTTTGCTGAATTTAGTAGGAATTCAGAACACGGATGGGATTTTGTGCTTCTTAGTTTTAGTAACTCTTTTGTGTGTTTCTCTTCTGAGTACTATCCCAGCAGAGCAGCTCTCAGAAAAAGATACTGTAGGAGAAAAAAAAAGAAAATAGTTGGAAAGATGAACTTTATTTAATATGGGAACTGTAAGCAATGAAATTCCCATGTCATGTACTACTATCAACTGTGGAAATATTCTGTTGCTTCAGGTTAAATAACCGGAGGTAAACCAAGGTTGCTTGCTTTACTTCCCACTCACAGTGGGTGATTGTTTCATACTTCCTTAAAGTGAAAAGGCAGAAGTGTAATAAAACAGATGTTTTCTTTTTAGAAAGAAAACCTTTTTTATGATTGGTTTCTGAGAAGATTCTGGCAGTGGGAAGCAAACTTGTTAAAAGTACTACTTGTGAAAACTGGAGGAAAGACTTTATACGTGCTTCTTAAAGAAAACATATGCCTGAATGCTGTTTGGTAGCTGCATTAGTGCATGGGATGTGAAAACATCTGTTTTAGGCTGTCGGTCTGCACAAGGCAATTGATAGGACTTAAATGATTAAAGTCATTAAGTTTTTAAAAAAAATTTTACTTACCTGAGACTTCATCTGTTCTGTTTTTCAGGCACAGGAATAGGGGCAAGCTGAGTGACCTGGTAGCAGAACATCTTGATCATTTGCATTACCTTAATGATATACTTATCATTAATTGTGAATTTTTAAATGATGTGCTGACAGACCACCTACTCAATAGGCTCTTTCTTCCCCTCTATGTGTATTCATTAGTAAATCAAGATAAGGTAAGTGAATACATGCAAATCTGTAAGTTGTAAAGGAATTATTTGCCTTCAGTATGCATAGCGATTTGTTAACCCTACTAAGGAACACACCTGGTTAATACTGTTGATGCCTATGTTTGTATGTTGAAACAAATAGGGACTGTAGGGGGAGGAGGTAGGTTATAGGTTGAACGCTTTTGTTCATTGTTATTTATTTGATCTCTTAAAATGTCAATATTATTTTTTTTTATTTATACGTAATACTTCATTGTTTATATAATTGTTTATGTAACAGCCAATTCCTTAATGAATGCTATCAGAAAAAACTTGTGAAGGAATGGTTGAGTAGGAAATACCAACTTAATTCTGGGTTATTTATCTGTTGCGCTGTTATTAAAGGGGCTGTGACTGAGAACAACCAGAAGCCATTTTTAAGCTTGTAGACTGTGAGGTGTTCTTAACTGGAGAGTCTTCGTTTGAAATTGTTCACCAATAAGTAAATTCTAAAGAGCACCATCGTTAGTGCTAATATCCACTAATATCCATTAGTGGATATTTGTGATGGGATGTGAAACAATACGAGGTTAAAAACTTCGTTTTAAATAAGATCTTAATCAGTGTCAGTGCTTTAACTTTATGGAAATAAATCATTGTTTTGTGTTACTTCTACAACTTCTTTTCCTTAGGGTGGGGAGCGTCCAAAAATAAGTCTCCAAGTTTCTCTCTATCTTCTTTCTCAAGTATGTATTTGAATTATTTTGTCCTATTTCAGAATGTGTTTTGCTGTAGTGTTATTATATGTAATATTATTTACCATATTGTCATCTATCCTGACAAAACCATTTTTAAAAAATTGGCAAACACACTGTTGAACACTTTCCAGTTTTCTTATTAAAAATAAAAAATAATAGCTCATTTTTCCTTAAGACAGATTTAAGTAGCTGCTTCAGTCATGGTTCCTCTGGGGATCTTGTAGCACACAATGACAGCTTTTGGAGCATCCGTTTGTGTACAGCACTTCATAAACAGCTCACAATAGAGTCATGCAACATTTCAGGACAGGATTTGTAAAATTACAGATGAGGTTCTCCTAGACATGCAGTGCAGTTTGAATCTACCTAAATCTGAGATTTTCTCTTGGGAAAACAGAGGGAGTATTGATCTGTTTCATGGCTTGTGTTTTTCTTTATTAAAACTAGGTAGCTTAAAATGTAGGAAAAGAACATAGAATAAAAAATAATATAGAAGGAACAAGAATATCTGTAGAGGGAATTATGCTCTAGAGGAGTTATGTGTTTTGAAGCAGATTTCATGAACTATTAGTGTTAATAATTTAATGTTACTGTGCATGTAAACTTAAGATACCAGTGTTCAACAAGGACGTAAATGAAATTTGTTCAGTGATTGAAGTAGAGAAACCATGTCTTGTAATGTGTCTAATATTTCTTTCCACCTTTAACAGGTTTTTCTTATTATACATTATGCCCCTTTGGTGAACTCACTGGCTGAGGTTATACTTAATGGTGACCTGTCTGTGTTTTCTTCTAAAGCTGAGCAAGATGTTCAGAAAAACTCAGTAAGTGGTCAAGTAATACATGGATATTTTCCTTCTTTTAAGATGTAAACATTCTATTTGAAATACCAATAATATCAAGAAAGGAGCAAGAAATGCCTGCATCTTGAAACTGAAGTTAAGGTGATTGTGTTTAGGAGATAAGAGCAGAAAAATTGTTAAATATGACTGCCAGAAAATGCTCTGTGTGACTTGCAACATTATGTTCTTACTTGTCCACATTTATCTCTTCTGTGGTGGTCAGACTGCAAAGTCTTCCAGTACTTTTATCATCCAGCCTTGGTTCAGTTCTGGTTACTGACCTTTTTCCAGTGGAGCTGACTGAGTGCTATGAGATAAAGCAATCTCTTACTTGCGTTAGGAAATGTCTGACCTTGTACTAGTTGCATACTGACTGTTGTGTGCTCCTTGAGCAGAAGTGGCTTTGTTACTAGGAAATCTGTGGCAAAAGGGTGAGATAGCATATGTTGTGGAAGGGAGGTTTTTTCCTGTTCTCTTTACTGTGCAGAGTTGCAGAATATCTGTAGCACATGTTTTGTGCTTACATTAATGTGAGGAATAGTAGGAGTTTCCTTTAAATGCCTGTTCATCTGTTCTCATGTCTATAATGCTGTTCTAGATTGCTGCTTCTTACTTGTCCTGTGATGCATGGTGCACACACTGCGAGCTGTCACACGTGAACAGCTACCAAACAGGAGGCGGCTGGCTTTCTAGGGTAGACGCTTAGCAAAATTGTACCAGAGGTGGAGCTTTGTTGCCACTCCATGGTTGGAACCGTATTTTTTAGTAAATTCAGCCTTACTGTTCCATGGGCCCTGAAAAGGGGAACGTGAAGCTACTCTGTGGAGTTTGAGAAGTATATTGAATTAAGATGCTTTTTCCTTTACATATTTTTCCCTTTTATTTCTGCCATTAAGTGATACTAGAAGAAATACACTCAGCTCTATATTATTTCCTGTGAAGTCTGTTTTCCTACGTAATTCAGATGTGGGTCAGTTCTACCTAATTCATGTTTCTCAATTTCTTGTTTAACCTACTTTCTCCTTCTCATGAGAAGTTGTTACTAATTATTTTACTAGCACACACTGCACAAGATATATTGTGTTTATAAATTAGAAACTATAAATATGATAGACACTTTTTGAAAGTATGAAAAAACAGTATCTCTAAATGAAAAAGCAAATTATATATAATGTAAGCTAACTTTTTTTTTTTGAGATTGTTTTAATTATTTAGCCTTGTTTGGCAGCTCAGGATATGTATTTTCCTCAGTATTCTTTCTTGCAGTGGACCAAACCATCCTTCAGTGTTTATCAGTGTATCACTCAAATGTCTCTTCTGTTATTTTGCTCATATGACAAGCAGCAGCTTATAATACAAGGATATTAAATACCTGCATTCTTCGTGAAGTAAAATAGTTCTAGAAAACAGTGTAAAAAGTAAATGCAGGGAGGGGAAAATCTGAAAGCTTCTTGCAATTTGCATATGTAATTTTTTTCCATAAAGAATAGGACTTAATGTGCCCTTCCCTTTTCTTACGACTTTTCTGACCAGAAGCCACCAATAAAAGTAATTTGGTTGTGACTCCAATTAATATATAATCTGTCCAAACTGCAGTTTGGTATATCTGAAAATATGTCAGAAATTACAGGGGGAGATGTGCAGTAAATTGCACAATGTGGGTAGAATTGTTTGTTTCAGTGTTGTGAAATATTCCTCCTACCATGTAGCTTATTTCAGTGATAAGTGTAAGGAGACATGCAGGATTGCTGTAAAACCCTGTGAGTCAGAGGATTCAAATAAATGTTTTGGCCTTTTGACTTGTGCTTGGCTTCATCCTCATGCAGTCATTCCTAATCTCTCCTTCTTTCTTCTTTTTCCCCCCACCCTCCAATGTATTCTTTACTAATTGGAGTGAGGGTTTATTTCCCAACATTTTTCCTGAGGTATCTTTGAACTCTTCATCTTCAGTGCTTGAGTCACATGGGGCAAGGAATGGAATCCCAGTATATGTATTTAGTCTTACTTATATTTTCTATTGCTTGCCCTCAAGTTTTGAATGGTTTAGCCAGTGTCAGCTAAATGTGATTGAAATATCAAGATCTAAAAAGTAGTGAAGTTTCTGTAAGAGCTTTGTTCAGGTTCAGCCTGTGCTGGGGGAAGCCCCCAGTCTACGTTTCACTTCCCAGTAGCAGAAAAGTTTGGCTCTGTGGTGTTTGTGTGGCTCTGGCTGGGAGCTCTGTGCCCATAATCCAAGTGGCAGCCCTAGCAAATGTGAAGGGAGCTCAAAGCATTGCAGCTCAGAAACAGTCTGCAAGAGGATGGGAAACCAAGCTGTTAATCTCGCTGGTCAAAGTGGTTCTTGTTATGTTTCGTCTCTCTGTAAGAGTGCACTGTTTGCTGTTGTTAGGATGACACAGACTCTCCTGAAGCAGTCATTTGTTTCTGTAAAACCCTGTAAGTCAGAGGTTGTCATCTTCATTTATTTTTTCCATATATGAAGTGATTATCAGGAAAATTAGGTATTGACTGAATACTGCTTGCTTTCCTCTAAGTGTTTCATATTAATACATTGCTATCAACAGACACTTCTGATTTTGCTGCCTTTATCCTATTTGCATATGGTCTTTTAGTTTTATTTGTATTAACTGCTTTACCTGTTAAGCAAAATTCAAAGAAGCAAAATACAGCTTTAAGAACCCTGCACTGTTAAGCTGATCATTTGATTTATTCTTTTTTTGAAATGGCATCCTCCTTAATGGCAAGTCTTTAGGTTATGTTACTTTGGGTACAACTTTCGCTGGTTTGGCACTGTTTCTCCAAGGTCTGCTTTCCTGTATTTTGAAACTGGTCTGAAATTTAAGTTTTTAATTCCAAAACTTTGAACTGAAGTGTCTTTTATAGAGTTAAAAATGCCTTGCTTGTAGCTCAATGTAAAATCTTAACGTTTGTAGGCGAAGTCAAGTATCAGATGTTTCATAAAACCAACAGAAACACTTGAGAGGTCTCTTGAAATTAATAAACAGAAGGGGAAGAAGAGAGTGCAGAAAAGACCCAACTATAAGAATGTTGGTGAAGAAGACGAGGAGGAGAGACAATCTGAAGATATCCAAGATGACTCAGATAAAACTAAAAGTACAGAAGCGAGTTCAAAAGGCATCAGAACAAGCAGTGAAAATGAAGGTGTGTACATTAGCAAATCAAAATGCTGCTTACAATTTGGGTACTCTTATTTACTGTGTGCATCTAATTTTGATGTATTACATGGCTTGGTCTCTTGTTGCGGTAGGTAACACGGTAGTACTAATTTATTTCACTCTCTTTGGCTGTGTTTTTTTTCTCATGTGAAATCATTCTATCGGGAGGTGTACTTTTAGTCTGATTGAAAACCATAAAAATGCCTTTGTATCTACCTGCTGTTTTTGTGCCTTTGAATGTTGTGCCTTTGATTATGGAGAGCTTTATAAGTAAACCTCGTCGTAGACCTTTGCAGCTTTTTTTATTCAGTAAAGCAAATAGTGTGGAAGATGGTCAGGAGTATTCTGTGCATGTTTCAGTGATTCAAGTATGCTAAAATTGACACTACTTTTTTGAAAACATGCAATTGCTAAAAACTGAAGGAAACGTCTTAAACGGAGATTATTTTATTGCTATATTTCAGGACTTTTGATCTAATACTAGCCTTAAGAGGATTTAAGAGCCTTAAGAAGAACTGGTTCTGTAAGATGAGTGGTTTTATAGCGCATCATAACTGTTTATTTTAATAGTAACTAGAAGACATGGGTACATCAGAAAATAGGCATGTACTGAGAAAACATGGCATAAAAGGAGTTAAAAACAAGACCTTTGTTCTTGGACAATTCTGTCCAAACACGGTTGCCTTTTTTGATAAGACTTTCTAGGATTTTTATTTTCCTTAAATGGCATCAAATAGCTGATGGTACATTGCCATAATTTTGACACGATCTGCTGGGTAAACTGGTGCATTTATTAGTCTTTGTCCAACCTCGTAAGCAAAAGCTAGTACTGCCAAAAAGCCTGAAGCATGTGGGACTGGGTACCTTGTTTGCTCTGACAATAGAAAGCCATTCACACCCTCTGGGAAACTCCATTTTCCCTGTTAGCACTCATCAATGTTTTTGTGATTTTATTTTTTCCAAGCAATGTTCTGTGTGTTTTATTCCCGTGGTTTAGAGAAGGGATTTACTGCTATTTATTTATTGAACAAAATAATTTGCATGTTTTCTTTCATGTATGTATGTGTAAATTTCTTATAGGATTAACTTTCATACAGGAATGTAAGCAAGCATTTTTTCTATCATGAGGAAAAATTTGTCTACATTCAGTTATTCATTTTTTGAGGCTGCGGTTACACCTCTTGTAGTTGCATCAGTGGCTTCTAATGCAAAGTGGAAAAAGAAAAAGCTTGCAAAAACTGTTTGTTAAAAATACCAACTTTTGTTTTATAGAAATAGAGATGGTCATCATGGAGCGATGCAAGCTCTCAGAATTGTCCATCTCTGCTGTGACAGAACAGAATACAACGGATGAAGAAAAGAGTGCTGCTGCCTCTGGAAGTGAGATAACAAACTGGAACAGGTATGGGAACTGTAACATCTTGCTCAGTTGCTTCTGTGTTTGCCTTCCTTTAAACTTTCTCATTTCTTCTATGGGATGTCTCAAATCTGCCTCCAATTAAATTTACAAGTGTTCTTGTAGGACAGTAAGATGGGAGGCAATAGGAAAGCAGAATACTGCTTCTTTACTGATCCGTTTGGGATATGATCCGGTTTCTTTGTTAAGGTGGTGCTTTCTTTTATAGCAGTTGTGATACTGAAAGTTGGTGAAGTTGAGTTAAAAAATATTAACACAGTTAAAACAAGCATAAAAATTTTCATTGCAGAACTTTCTAAACCATCGCTAGTGCTTAAACCTAGGAGACCAAAACACTTCTGCAGTCCGAACTTTAACTTTTCCATTCAAATGTTTCTTTCTTTCTCATTTTTCTCTCCTTTAGTCATTTGAGTGTGCAGTTCTTGACAGCTTGTTGTAGGATAGCCTACCTTGCTCCAAGTGGTAGTGAAAGTTAGTGAAAATTTCTTTCTTGCTCTAGTAAATGCTTTTCAACTCTGCTTAGTGCTTGAATTTTTAAGGTAGGTATTTTTTTCTTTTTTAATGCAACAGTGATTGCAGCTTCTTGAACTTCATTATGTACGTATGCACTGAAGCTGTACAATGCTTCTGCATACATAATATATGCGCTGCAAACAAACCCAGCGAGTGTATGAACAGGTAGTTCTTGGAAAAGTATTATGAAACCATTCCTGTAAAAATGTTTGAATTAATGTCAGAATGTAGTATGAGACAATACTGTAATCTGAGTACTTTCAAGCAATTTCTTTTGCTTTAATGCCTGAAAATGTGCATTACTGTAGACTTCTTTCACTCTCTATATGTAGAGCAGGATAGTTATTGATTTTCCTGTAAATGTTGTCTTATTCTTGGCCAATTCAAAGTTTTTCCTTTCTGCAGACCTTTTCTTGATATGGTCTATAATGCACTGGACTGTGCTGAAGATGATTACTATGCCCTCTTTGTGCTCTGTCTTCTGTATGCAATGTCACACAATAAAGGTAAGCCACTTTCTTAGAGAAAATAAATGAAACGTGGTTTTTGGTACAAACAATCCCCAAAGGTGGTTAATCTGTTGTTCTTCCTTTTGCTTGTGATAACTTTGCGAGTTGGTGTTGAATTTCTTTGTATTGCTAGTAACACTCTTCCAAGAAAACCATTGCTATCTATTAAATGCTTACCTTTAGGCATAGTCCTGTTTTCTAATTTACTTCATTTTCTTCCCTGTAAAGGCATTGACCCAGTGAAGCTGGAGAGAATTCAGCTTCCTGCTCAACATGCTGAAGAGAGAAATTCGTATAATCATGTACTTGCAGAAGGGCTCATCAGAATAATGAATTACGCTGCACAACCAGGTATCACATTTATAATATTTGTTTTCTTCACAAGCTGAAAAGCTACTTAACCTCTTGTGTATGAGATGAAAGTGTGTGTTTAACATGCTCTCTGTTGAACAGTAAGTAAATATGGGCTGTGAAAGACAAATACTGGTTTCTCTCAGTTGTTGAGTAACCAGTAACTGCATTTCTGCTGAATAGTTGTTTTTATGCTCAGAACTACAGAGGGATCTGTTGTCTTAACTTTCCTTCTCTCCACTTTCTTGAATAAACAAACATCAAACAAGGAATAATGAGATGGGTAGTGATTTCAGCTTAATGTACAATTTCATCCTGAAAATACGGTTTGTGGCACCTTTAATTGTAACACTGCTGCCAGTGGAGAAGTGGTCTTCAAAAATATACACAAGAAATGAATCTGTTTATAGCTGTCCTTTGCTTCTGGAGGCTAATAGTAAACTTTCCCATGACTTCTTTTAATTATGTATTGTGCTTTCAGTTCTGAACTGTTACGCAAAAAACATTTTTTTTCTTAACTTCAACTTTTTGTAAAATAAGGGATAGAAGGCTTAATGAACTATTCCAGGGAAACACAATTTTTGTTCAAGTCACAGCTCCTCCCACCTGTGCTGCCCCTATTAAAACTTTAAATGAGTGGAGCCAGTTTCCCCTGCAGCTGATGCACTGTCGTTATTGATTGCCTGCAGAATGAAATCTAGTCTGCTTTGTGGGCTCTCCAGTGGCTGCAGCTTTCTTCAGCCCCTATCCTCCTGCTGTGTTGCAGGGTCATTCATGTTCTGCAGTATAGATATCTGCTCTGACATGTTTCTCCATGGGCTGCAGTAGGACAGCATGCTTCATTGAAGGTCTTTTCCATGGGATGCACCTTGTTGCTGTCCTTCAGTGGCCTTTGTGGCTGCATATTTTTTGTCACATTTTTCTCCAATTTTGTGTTTCTAACTTTTTAATAATTCTACTGAAAATAAACGTTTAAACTCTCAATACATTCTTTCCTTTTGACCTCTCTGGATTTTTGCGTCCAGGCTTTGCTTAAATCCTCTGGATGTGAGGAAGACCTGTGCTTTACTAGCATGCTCTGTACAAAGCATCACTTCATCTTGTAACGTTATCCATGCCAGCCACCTATGATTCTCCCCAATGTATAATTCAGTCTGTGTTTCCAGTTAACTAAGGTGTTTGGTTTCAGTGGCTTTTGTAATGAAATACATCTTTATTACCGTCTTGTTACGTGGTTCTGCTTCTTCCCAATAACTCTTCCAGTTCACTTCTTACAGTCAGCCACACCATACATCCACCCTTGTCAGGCAGGGTGTGTATGATGGATGCTACTGTTTCTTATATTAAAATTCTCTTTTCATAGATGGAAAAATCCGTTTGGCAACTCTAGAACTTGGCTGTCTGTTGCTGAAGCAGCTTGTGTTTTCTAAAAATGGCAGCATAATAAAAGACGTTCATCTTGCATGCCTTGAGGTTAGTGTTCTTCTTTCACGTTACTAGTTTCAGCATTACTTGCATTTGCATCTTGCTGTATAATAGCACAAATGTTTTTGTTTCTTATTGTAATAAGCTTAATGTGAAACTTGAGCCTCTAGAATATCTTCCCTGGTGATTCCATACGGTGAAAGAAGCAATATTCTGTATACCATTCTCAAGTCTGCTGTTAGCTTGCTAATTAACTCTGAATAGTTAGTTTCATTTTTCTCTCTGAAGAGTGTATGGTAGCCATCTCAGCAATGTGAAGAGAAGTACTTTTGAAACAAACAAGCTCAGCTGAGCTGTGAGTGCTAGAACTGTTACATCAAATTCTGAGCTGAAGGCTATACATATGGGGATATTAGTAGTTTGAGTGCATTTTTTTAAATGTTGCTTCTGATTAAATGGTATTTTTACTCCCTGAAATGGTTATTTTCTCTTTTCTAGGGTGCAAGAGAAGAAGGCGTTCATCTCCTTCGCCGTTTCTATAAGGTATATATGCAGAGGGTTGTAAGAAATGAGTCTTAACACGTGGATTTAAAATAAATAAAACCAGTCTAATTCCCCAAGAAAGCACTACATATTTCTTGTAGAGAACGAAGTTTTAGATGGTTTCTCTCCTTCCTACATTTCACATAGCCCATTGATGACTTCACAAAAAGCATGTGAGAAGTCCCATAGGCTCTGCATCAGAGGACAAACGAGTAGTCCTGCTTTTGTTGCAGCTGCTGTGTATGTTGTGGAGCTGCCATACCATTGGAAAGTTTCTTGGATTTTACTAACGGCACAAATACGGAAGATGCCTCTTTTGGCATTACTTTTTGTTTGTATCTCATTCAAAATGATGATCTGAAATTTTATTTAATCTTATTTTGAGACCTCTACAGCTTTTTGTTTTTTTTTTTTTTTTAGTGTTGTAAACAATGAGCCCTAAGCATGAACTTATTAGTTACAAATTTACTTTCCCTTATATGGAAGTGTCTAAATTCTCCTCCAATTTGTGTTAGAATTCTCTTGAGGAAGAAGGTGCAGGGTTATTTTTAATTTCCAGTAAGTAAAAAATAAAAAATAAAACCATAATTTGTGGTGTGTTGACCTTGGCCAGCTGCCAGACACCCACCCAGCTGCTCTTGCACTGTTCCTCCTCAACAGACTGGGAGAAAACGAGATGAGAAAAAAAAAACAAAAACATGTAGGTTCATATACAGATAGAGAGGTTGTTTAATAATTACTGTTGTGGGCAAAACAGATTCAGCTTGGGTAAAATTTAACTTACTGCTAATTAAATTGGATAGCATGAAACAAAGACTAATGAGAACAACACCTTTCCTTCACCTCTCCGTTTATTCCCAGATCAACTTCATTCCTTCATTCCCAACTCCTCTAACTCTTGCCCTCCACTGCATAGGAAGGATGGGACATTGGGGCTGTTGTTGATCTGCAGCAGTTCCATTCTGCTGCTTCTGCTCCTTCCTCACACTTTTCCTCTGCTCTAGTGGGGATCTTCTCTGTGGGCTACTGCCCTTAGCCAGGAAAAAAACTGGCCACAGCATGGACACTCCACAAACTGTGTTTTTTTTTTTCAGGACTAAGGCACCTGCTGTGCTGCTGCAGCATGGTCCCCATGGGCTATCTTTGGGGATCTGCTCCAGCGCCAGGAGCATCTCCTTTCCTCCTCTGTCCTTGGTGTTGCAGGACTGTTTCTCTCTGTTTGCCCGCCTTGCCACCTTTTTTTTACCTCCCTTACTCCTGAACAGCATTTTGCTCTTCCTGAAATCTCTTTTGCAGAGGCACAGCCAGTGTTGCTGTGGGGCCTGGCTGTGGTGGGGCTGTTGGAGCACTGGCTGTGGCCAGCCTTGGTTTCTTCCCGAAGTCACCCCTGCTGCTCACCCCTTGCCACCTACACCCACTGCACAATTAAACAAGAGCAAGCATGTCTCTTTAGCAATGTTTGTGGATTCATAATGTGTTCATATTTGATGTGTTCATTTTTATTTTTTAATAAAAGGGAGAAGAAATTTTTCTGGATATGTTTGAAGATGAATATCGGAGTATGACAGTAAGTGACGCCTGTATGAGTTCCTCCCAAAATCTTCCAAACCAGATGCAAGACAGAAACAAGTAGTTATTGGAAACTATTGAATGTGTCTGTTGTATCTAGCAGTAGAATAGCAGAATGTTTTAATTCCTCTGAGGAGTTCTCTGCACTTGCATAAATCATTTGTGTGAAACTTCACAGCTCTTTATTAAATAAAAAGCACCATCAGTTTCTGGAAGTAGGTATACAAAAACTTCTTCATCCTAGGGACCAAGATATTAGATTGTTAAACAACTGAAGAAAAGAATAATTAAAAGTCAAAGTCATAATCTTCCTATGTCTGTTTGAAGCCCTGCATGGTTTCAAGTTTAACTGGAGCCACTTTACTTACCAGCAGAGGACAGGGAGCTCTGTCCCCTCAAAGAGCAGCACATTGCCAATTGTGGAGCACTGCTGTGGACTTCTTAGTGAACTTTTGTCTTGAATCTCAGTTAATATTGAAGCTGTAAATGCATTTAAAAAGCAACTACGTATTTAATTCTTAGGTTAGTGTTTAAGAATTGAGTTGTCACATGAAGTGATCTTTCTTTTCCTCACAGCAGTGTTACAGGGGTTTCATCAGCAGGCACTTTGTCTTTTTGAAAAAGAACAATTTACAGTTGGTGTATTGCAGCACCTCTTAATATGAGAAGCATCCTGCAGTATCTTACTAGCTTAAATAATAGGAGTATTTAATCAGTATGTTTTTCTTAGTACTTTAGTGTTGATGTGCTTCTAGTTTGAAAACTGGCACTGAAGTTAGCACTGTTGTCATGTTACAAATTAGTTTGTATGTAGGTTTTTCTGTTATACAAGTATCTCATTTTCTGAAACTGCTTTTTTTTTTTTAATCATTTACTGTAAAAGACAGAGTTACACCCTGAAAGTTTGTTTTCTTTAAAGTGTATTTGTTTGGCTAGTTAGAAAATTTGCAGAGCAAATTTAAGTGCTGAGTGTCACTGAAGTAGTCCTACTGGTTGAAGTGTGCAAATAACATGTTGTGGAGCTTCAGTGAGACAGAAGTACACTTATCCTATCCGAATGGCAAAGGAAAAAGTTCTCAATGAGGAGTTTTCTTCATGTTCTTCACCTTGATGAGTAAAAACGCTGTTTAAATGACTATGCTATTGCATCACAAATAGTTATTTACTTGTCAGAAATTTTAGTTTTGTGTTCTCATTTGTACCATATGTTTGGATTTCTATATTTTTCTACACGTTAATTTGGTTTGTTAATCCAATGCTTTAGACACTGAAGATGAATTTTCTGAGATAGGAACGATTGGATAGAGACTATTTTTGAGCTTTTATGCACGGAAGGCAGCAGTTCAAGTCTGTGCTGTGAGATTTCTGAATCTTGTTTTGGTCTGCTGCTGTTACAGTGTGTGATCATGGCAAAGTGAGCAGGAATGCTTCCAGGTCCTATTGGCTGCTCTAGAATGCCTACATAAGGGCACTTTTCTTCTGCACAAAATATCATACAAACTCTGCAAGGGGATTTCTATTGATTCCATGTATTTTTCTAGCAAAAAGAAAAAACAAAACCTCACGTCTTCTGTATGTGTGTAATAGACATCAGATGAAATTGCCCAAAATTACAGAAGTATAGACATTTCAAACATCATTTAACCATGAAAATATGGAAGGAAGCGTGTAGTCTCCAAGCTATTGCATTGTTAGGTACTGGAGAATATCTTTTTTCAGGAGAGAAGTTATGGGAAACTTTTTTTTCTTTTTGTTATTGAAATAGTTATAAATTTGAGTCAAAACTTGAAATCAGACATGACAGACCTTGCTTTTTAGTACTCTTGAAATGGCTTTTCTACTCTAATCTTTCAGGGTTTTTTGCTGTGGTTTTTCAGTGTGGAAACTTCAGCAGTGTGTTAGGGAACAATGAACGAATTTAGGATTTTAAATGAAGATTGCTTGCTTAAAATAACATGGGTGGTATCAAAAATTCTCAGAACTCTGTGCCAGCTCCTTCCTCTCCATCTGAGATCATGAATTGTATTTGAAAATAAAAATGCAAACTGTAGCTTTCTGTATAACAAATCAACGTTGAATATTTTTACAGATTAAGCCCATGAATGTGGAGTACTTGATGATGGATGCCTCAATTCTGTTGCCTCCAACAGGAACACCACTGACTGGTATTGATTTTGTGAAAAGATTGCCTTGTGGAGATGTGGAAAGAACACGAAGGGTAAGTAAGGCCTTTTTCCTTTCATTCATGACATGTGTCAAAGGCTTTGAAAAATTTTGGAAATACAGGTGTTTTTCCTTGAGAGCTGCTTGATTGAAAGCTTCGTCTGTAACATCATAGAAGCTTAATGACAGAACTGGGTAGAGCATACTCACCTCTCCCAGGGTGGAGAAGCCTTTTTTCTAATTTCTTGTAGTCCCTTCAATATGTTCTTGTGTTGGGATTTTCATTTTCAGGCAATAGCAAAGAAATTCACATAAAAAGACACTTTATTACCTTTACTAATTTATTATTTATTCCATTGCTATCTGATATCTCAGTCTTCAATTATATTAGTTTAGTATGGAGCAAACCAGGCTTTGGTTGTGTTTCTTGACATAGCAAAGCATATGATTCTATTCAAGAACATTCATCTTGCCCAAAGTAATTCAGTATTGAGATGTTGAGAATGAGGAGGATGATAGCAAAATAGTTCATGTTTTGACTGACACGATTTGTAGAGATGATGCTGATACAGATAACCACATCAATGTCTATTTTCTTGCAACAGTCAGTTTTGGCCTGCATCCAGCAGTGTCTTATACCAGCACTACAGGGCTTACATCTTAATAATGCATTACTGCACAATATTGCTGTTTGGAAAGTGCTGTTCTATGAGGAGTTTAGCATTTGTGTAAGCGTATGCAAAAGTATATTCAAGTGGTGCTGAAGGAAAAAATATAGATTTCCAGTTATCTTTCAAATAGTCTTTCTTTCAATACTATTTATAAGCCACACAACTGTTGTTAGCAGAGCAACTTTTTTGATAAAGTACAGTAAATTATCTTGAGAAGTATTCTTAGAAAGCCAGGATGTTTTCTTAGAATACTTTTTGTGAGGTATTAAGCAGGAATGGTACCTAGAAATTCTTTCTGGTGGAAACTACTGCATATTTTTAATGTAATAAATTAGTGGAAATCCAAAACATGAATATTCCTGTAAATTATCTGCAGTGGAAGAGCCTTTTTTTATCAGCAGAAATTCCCAGAATTGTCCTTTCTTGTCATTACGCCTTCCCAGAATTTCTCAGAATTCCTATTCCAGCTACTTCTTGTTAAGCTTTGCTTTATCTCCTGCTGCTGCTGAACTGCAGTGCCAGTAAGCTAAATTTCTGGAGCATCTTGTGACAAGCTGCTGGTGCTTAACCTACTAGAGTTCTTTTTGCTGACAGTTTTAAATGGATACTGATTCAATTCTGAGCATCCTGTGGCATGATTCCAAAAAATTTGTCAAGCTTTGTTTTGTTAGCAAGTGAAGAAGTCCCATACTTTGATCATATCATGAGCTCTTAGCTTGGAAATCAGATCTTTTTATATTTTCACTTCTTTTTTTTTTCTGTAGAAAGTCCCTGTAAATGGCAGTTCTTTTCCTTTTAACAGCTTTAGGAGGAGCTGCATTTCTCGCTTCTGACTTCTATGGTCCTAAAGACAGTATTGCTTACCTACACTAATGCAAACACATTTAATGCCTGCTTGGGGAACTAATGAACAGTATGTGCTGAACTCTGCATCTTGACACAGTAAGCAGAGACTTTTGAGAGAAGGTTTTGAACTACCTCTGAGGATGCATATCATGGGAGTATAGTGAGATTTTGATATGTCTCTCTGTGTATTGGTATTCCTTTGCATATAGTTTGCATATTTAAATGAAAAAATCAGCACAAAATTTAGTATGTATAGTAGCTTACGGTAGGTAGCTCTTCATGTTTGTTTCTATCTGATTCTGAAAACAAGACAGTTGGGGGGAAAAAAAAATAAATTACTGGCCTTGGAACTGCTCTGCTGCCACCCTGAGATCTACTGAAGTTAGTAGTTACAAAGTCAGATCTCATGCTTTCTGGTTTGTATTGATATTGTAAGCAGATTTGGGCCGTAACCTGTAAGGTTAACATTGTAGTTGCTTTCTGATCTGGCATTCTTTCATTCTTGCAAAGGCTACTTCCTAATTTTCTTTTCTACTCTTGTAGATTATTCAGTTACATGTTGGAGATGAGTGACAGTAGATCTATGGGGAATGCATGTGAGGACAATGTACACTATGTAGGGAGGAAAGAGGGTTGTGGGGATGTAAGTGAAAGGCTGAGTGATGGCTGCCCTTTGAATTAAATTGTTTTGGAAGATAAAAAGCCCTGGTGACTGTTACATTAGGGTTAATAAAAATGCAAGAATAATGCTGTTTTGATTGAATATGGAAACTAGTAATCTCAGTACCATTAACTGTTGTTGAAGCACCTGGTAGTAAAACTGTTATATTAATCTTATTTAATTTCAGCAAATTCACACTACCCTTGAATGCAATCTCCCCAGATGGGAGAGATTATCTCCTATGATCAACTGACTCTGCTCTTACTCGCAGGATAATGCTCACTTTTTTTTTTTTCTAGATACAGTTTTTAGTTTTTGCTCCAAAATAATCACGTTCTTTCCCTACTAGATTTCAGCAGCATATCAAATTCATCTGTTGTCACATCGTATATGTCAGATACATGAGATCCCTCTCTTCATTTTGTTCTGCCAGAAGTTTCTGAAAGCACTGCCAGTATGACAGCTGGCCAAGCTTTTGCTTCTGGCTCACAGCATCCACAGCTATGTTGTCATTAAAAATACAAAGGGGTAAAGAGTTCTCAAACTGCCTCAAAGCAGTTGAAGCAGGTTTTTGTAATGCTTGCTGCTAGCTGGGAAGGCTCAGGCGCTGCAGCAGTTTGTGAATTCAGTGCTTTTACAGTAAAGCAGCAGCCACTTTACTGTGTGCCATGGGATTCCTATGTTGGAAGTTCTTTTTTAAAGCAAAGAGGAAAAACAGCACCAAGCAACAGTAGCATTTAACAATGATTTGCATTTGTTGTACTGAAAGAACAGTTCTTGTAATAGAAGAGGTGCCTTTCAGAAAGTCTTAATAAAATCATGATTGTTCTTTGCTGCTTTGTCCAGTCTTTGCATACCATGTGTCATTAATTTATAAATCAAAACAAGAATATAAATTTCACAGAGTGGATGTTGAAGGCTAGTGTGGCTTTGAGTGCTTTGCCCTGATGTAAGCCTTCTGGGAATATGAAAGTTTTCTGAGAATGCTCTTACAGGAGGTTGGTGTATGTGAGCACTGCAGATTAACACTCGGGAATCCCCACTGTGTTCTCTCAAACTTGTTGGACATTGTAACTTGACTGACTGTAATTACTCTGCTGTTTTAAATTCACAATGTGAGTGTGATTGCTTGTCTGATTTTGAGCAGATTTTGTAAATGAAATCAGTTTTCAAATGGTTTTTTTAAAATGACAAGACTTTTTAGTCTTTGCTTACGCAGCACTCGTGATGATTTGCCTGTCACTGTCCCTGGCCTGTGCCAGTGAGTAAAAGCTTTGTTGCTTCTAAAAACAAAAAACATGCATTGACTTCTTCTATACACGTTTTCAATTGACTTTTAAATCACATTAAGTTTTTTTAATTTAAAAAGTAAACATACTGCATGGCAGCAAACTCAGGGTTGTGAAAGTGTCTATGTTTGTAAGATTCTGAGTGCAGCAATATTTTAATTGTCTTTTTAATTTCTCAAGGCAATCAGAGTTTTCTTTATGCTTCGTTCGTTGTCGTTGCACTTGCAAGGCGAGCCAGAGACTCAGTTACCACTGACAAGGGAGGAAGATCTGATAAAGACAGATGATGTTCTCGACTTGAGTAAGTAGTCTCTCCGTTTCCCGAATTGATTCCTTTTGGTCTTTCTTTTTATAGTATACCCAGCTTTGTCACAGTAGATGGGAATTTGTTCACGTGCTTAGTAACAAAATGGTAGAGCAATGTATAAAGTGCTTGTGTAATTTGCTGCCATTACAGCAAACCATGTTGTCAGAAGCATTTTTTTTAATCTGTCCTTTAAGAAAATAATGTTTAAATGGTACAAATTCTTGCTTTTTAAATGTCAGCTTTTGACTCAGACTTTACCCTTACACAAACCTTGAAGTCTTTTTCCTATCTGAAGGTTTTAGTTCTAGTTTTGAAACTTCCATGACTGCTTATTTTGAAAGGAACACGAATTCCCCAAAAAAACTTATCTGAAAAAAAAAAGAACAGTACGTTATACTGCTTATAACACTTCTCAGCTGTTAGGTTAAAAAAAAAAGTTGTCCAAATGTACATTAGTGTTGAATTGCTGATGGATTACTAGTATAGAATTAACTCAGTTTCCTGTTTCAGATGAGCTTGTTGTAACGTTGGCTCTTTTGCAGAGGATAGAGCGAAATAATGAATCAGCTTCTACTGAAAAAAAATGTGTTCTTAAATTAACTGGAAGCAGTTTTTGCAGAATAAGAGATGCTATCTATATACATGTATATATAAACTCACTTGCATATGCATACACATGCATTTGAAATCAAGAAGAAAAATTGGTTCCATTGCCCTACCTGTGAGACATGCATTCTACTGGTCTGGAGACAATTTTGAGTCAAAACAGATTGTATAAATAAATTGGGTAGAGATTATGTGCAGATCAGTTGAGGGACTTAACGTTTCAAATTGCTTCTAGAATTCCCTGGGAGAGTGCTGTAGCTCTGTTAAGGTTGATGTGCTCATCCATAAAACCATTTGGTTCAATTGCAGAACTTTTAACTCCAAAGTTCACTGCAATGGGCCTGGCACAGTACTTAGGGAAATGGCATATCTTACCAAAAAGGCTGTGTGCTCTTTGAAAATGTTTTTGGTTTTTTTTGTCTGGCAGGGAGGCTGTGCGTTAACTGTCTCCAGCCTGCCTGCTGGAGCTCAAGCTCTTGTTGGACTGCCAGCTAAATACATCCAGCATGCTAAATATCTTCTGTAGGATTCGTCCGGTCTCTGTAGAGGATTTGTGGAGTTGTGCTGAGTGAATCATGAAATCACTTTATTTTATGCTATGAAGGAAGCCAGATTTATTTAGACCATCTCTTAAAAGTAGCTGTTATGCTCTTGAAAACTCTGGGTAACATCTTGCCAGGAAAATGGTTGGTTGTGTTCATGCGGTATTTTCACTTAGTGTACATTTTCTTTGCTGCAAACAGCTGAAGTCTTTGAACTCTCCTTCCGAGGCAGTTTCCCAAAAGCTTGTAATTTCCTTGGATGAAACCCAGAGAGCTGTGTTTGTAAATCCAGAATCTTGGAGGTGTAGCATCCAGGCTGGTTGTAAGCCTCATTTTGCAGCATTTCTGTTCATAATCTCAGAAATGATGCTATATTCTCAGATCAGATCACTGGAAATGTATTTAATCTCACTTCCTGTTTCAGTCATTTTTTTTTTATAACTGTAGCATATGGTCCTTCAGCAGCCTTAAAGTGGAAATAGGAGTGTAAATGAGGTGTGTTTTGACTAGTGTAAAAACCAAAAGGTTCTCATAGTTCATTAGCTGCCTAATGAGTTACGAATATTCTTTTCTGATATTTAATAAGCTTTGACAGTAATGCTTTGCCTTTATTTTCTTTTCAGATCTGAAATGAGAAGTTGCTCTGAAAAATCAATCTTTTGATTTCTTTATCTTAGTAGCTATTGCATTTCTGTAGTCAGGCAGCTTAGGCACTATTTCCATATCTTTTCACCTGTGTTCTTTAGTCTCTTTACTGTTGCACTAAAGCAGTATTAATACTGGACAAAACCATATATTTGACAACTTTACTGTTCTGTGTGGTGTTATGGCTCATGTGTTGATGAGCTCATTTCTGCCACAACATTCAGCAACCCTAAATTCCACTTCAAGTTACTTCAGTTCTTGACAATGTGGCTGGAATTACTATCCATTGATAGTAATAAACAAATTGATGGACTCGTTGGATTAAAAAATGAAAGAGGCAATAAAAGGTCTCAAACTGAGAAGGCTTGGGTTCAGAGTATTCCAGAGTCCTGTTCTGAAACATTTGTAAATGCTAAAAGCCTTAATGGGCTTAAGGGCTTCTTAACACTGATAACCCTTTGTGCTTGTTGATAAAACAGTTTCAGAGAAGGTACTAGATATAAGAACTCAAACACTGCATAAGATAAACCGTATAGTAAGCACATCTTTGTACTACAGACTGTTCCAAACTTTGTGTTTCCTGTTAGTTACCATGTAAGTTCCTGTTTTGGGAAAACTGTCCAGATGACAGTGCAGGTATCAGCTGATTCAGCCCGTAAGAGCTGGGTGTGCAGTAGGTCAGTACAATAACTTCAGCGTCACGAGGGTGCTCCTAAAAGCTCAATGCATTCTTCATTTCACAAAGAATTGTTCATTAGACTTTCTTTGCAAAAATATCACAAAGTAACTTTTAGAAGGGCTTGCTTTGTGTCGTTATTATAGCTTAATAAAAGTACAGAATCTTCTAAGCTCTTCTATGCAACTGGCCTTAGTTTCAAAGCAAAACCTTATGTTAAATTCCTTGCTCATTAAAGCTTAAATAATCTGATACCAGTTTTGGTTTTGTCATGCTAACTCTTCAGTTCCAAAGAATAAGGCATGTCCATAGCATTTACAGCAAATGCATTTGGCTTCTGAAAGGATGTCTGTCACCTGAACTCTGTCTGAAACTTCCCCACCCCAATCCTTTTTTCATGTGAAATTATATTTTCTAAAGAAAGGTATTTGCTGTTCCTCTGAAAACAGTCTGTATTTCTGGTTAGTGACAGAGCACCAGGGGGGTTCTAGGTCACCAAGTTCCCTTGGCTTTTACGTGTTATCAACCTGACTCCCTTTGTTTTCTTGGCTCCGTTCTCTTTTACCATTTATGTATGAATTAAAATTTTCCCCAAGTACTCTTCTAATTACATGGAATTGTTAAGTGTTTAGCTAGAAAAAAAGTATTTAATTTTAATGGGTTGCTGTGGTTGTCTTTCAAGTTTCTTTCAGCCTGCTTTAAAATTGTGTGTACTCAAACTAACACAGTTTCACAGTAATGAATGAGAATAAAGCAGGGTTCCTATCTGGTTGTGTACATTCTGAGGTCGTGTTTGTCACTTTGTTGTGGGAAAAACTGTGGGATCCACAATCACTGCAAGTCTGCTTCAGAGAACTTAAGTACTGGCTGTATTACACCCTACTTGGCTTTTTCTTTTTCATTCTCTGATATTTTATGTTTCAAAACAGTGAAATGTGGGTTTTTTTGCTTTTGTTTAAATTCGTAGGCTGGGTCAACGTAAATGACTTTCCATTATCCTATTTTCCTGTAATTTAGGAATGTTGATGGTAACTCCAAGCTTTCTAGTCATAAATGAAAGAGTGGAATAACACAGGTATTACAAAGTAATTTCTGAAGGAGCATGTGAGAGCTCTATTTCTACTGTTGCTTCCTTGATATGTATATATAAAATGTGTTGACATACAAATACATCTTTGGATCAAAAAATGTGAGTGCTTTTGATCCATTTAATGTATGTTTTATTCAGATGATCGGTACAATAACTAGCTTTCAAGTGCAAGAGCAAGTGTGGAGATACTGCCTTAAGAAAAGCTGAATTCTACGTGTCAGGAAGCTCACTAGATATAAATAATCTGAAAAAGAAGACAGCCTTTCTGAAAGCTGCTTATCTTGCTGCAAATAATACCATTTATCAAAATGACTTCAGTGTATCTGACACTAAAATACACATACTATTCTTAAGAACAGTGTATGTGGAATAGAAGAAAAGTGGTCTTGTACATCTGAACAGTAAATTGATGCCTGTAGCATTAAGCCCTCATTTTAGGAAAGGCTGAGTGACCAAGTCCAAACCGCTCCATGTAGCACTGCCTTGGCAGCTCTAAAGAAGTGGTAAGGGTGGGATGAAAGCCTGTGGCTGCCATAAAAGCAAGATGTGAAACTCATTGCTTTCGAGTCAAGTGGTCAGTGGTCTCTGTTCTAATAGTGTGTATGTGTGCAAGTGTGTATATTATTGCAGGGAATAGTTAAAATACAGCCCCTTGGCTGCTGAGCCCATCCAGGTATGGGCAGGCTATATAAAAGATACAAAATCTTTTACTTTCTGTAAATTGTCGTAGTTAGAGGTGAGAGAGAAGAGGGGAAAAAAAAAATCTGAACTGTAATGGATAATATGAATGAAAGTATAAATTTGATGAAATGAAGAAAAAGCTTATCCAGATTAGCAAAGGTCAGCTAGGAAGTGTCAGCCTATGTTTATGGGGCTCTTGTAAGGCTGCATCTGGTGTAAAGAATGTGAAAAGAATGTGATTTGGTCACTGAAGAATGATAGGTTGGAACTGGAATACATACCATGAGGTTTGGAAAGGATCAGGGAAGGGAGGTGCTTTGTTTTTTGAGATCTGTAGTTTGAAGGGGATTTTAGTGTGATGGCTAAAAGAAGTTTTGGTTATACATTCATACCGAATAATGTGGGTGGGAGAAGATGTAACCTGATTTAATAAATAACAGCAAAAAGGTACAATTTACAAAAGAGCCAGGTTTCAGTCTTCTAGAAGTGTAAATTGCATTGGGCTGAGGCCAAAGTTTAGAAGAAAGTGTAGGTGTGGCTGCATTCAGCAGCACTGGGTTTCTCAACAAGACTTGAGATTTCCATTTAGTGAATGAAATCAGCAGTGGTGCAATTCACTTCTGAAGTAAAATGACCTTTTATAGGGAAAGGGGTTGAAGATGATTTAAAAAAAAAAAAAAAAGTGCATTGTAATATATAACTTATAAGCAGCTCCAAACACTTACATGTATTATGAAGTCAAGACTGAGAACCATCTGGACGTGGTCCCATGCAGCCTGCTCTGGGTGGCTCTGCTTGAGCAGCAGGGTTAGTCCAGATGACCTCCAGAGGTCCTTCCAATCTCAACCATCCAGTGATTTTGTGTTAACGTTGTGTTACGTGAAACAAAACCAAGAATCCTGCAGTTCAGTAGCTGTATAACTTTTTGCTTTCTTTCAGATAACAGTGATCTGATTGCTTGTACAGTCATAACAAAGGATGGAGGTCAAGTTCAAAGATTCCTGGCTGTGGATATTTACCAGATGAGTCTGGTTGAGCCAGATGTTGCCAGACTTGGTTGGGGAGTAGTTAAGTTTGCAGGCCTTTTACAGGTAAGAAGTTTTAATCTGGATAATTCTACATTTTCTCTGCTGAAAATCTCAGCTTACACAGCTAAGTACCAATTGTATATTTAAATGGTGTACCCTGCTTATCTGTTCCTTTTGTTAGCAGTCATTTTCAGTTCCTGCCTTTAAACTGTTTTTCTAAAGTTGTTTCTGTGGATAACTGGAGACACGCTTAAAAATATGATAACTTCTCCAATATAATGTGGGATATGTCAGTTTGAACACTAAAAACATAGAGAACAAGATTGAGTGCCAGGTGCTTTCCCTAAATGACACAGCAAATGAACCCTCCCAGAATTGTGACCCTCATAAGTGAGTAGGGGTGGTGACAGATTGCAACTTCAGAGTTAGTTGTGCTTATTCAATTGATTTCAAAAACTTTAAATGTTTGTTACTTATGTCCCTTACTGTAGTCAATATTAATGTTTCTATTTCCTGCAAATTCTCTAATGTCCAGGTAATTTAATTGCATTTTAAACCGACTTGATATCCAGGAGCACAAACTTCTTCAGAACTGAATCCAGGGCTGCCAACCTGAATAGCCCTTCTTCTTAACCCTGGAACTGTTATAAAATGCTAATTTTTTGAATTAGCTAATTGCCCTCTCTTTCTTTTTAGGATATGCAGGTGACAGGAGTAGAAGATGACAGTAGAGCTCTGAACATTATAATTCATAAACCTGCCTCAAGTCCTCATTCTAAGCCCTTCCCTATCCTGCAAGCCACGTTTGTTTTTTCTGATCACATTCGCTGCATTATTGCAAAGCAGCGTCTTGCAAAAGGCCGTATCCAAGCGCGGCGTATGAAAATGCAGAGAATAGCAGGTAAGCAGTTATTTTGAAGTGACTTTGAGGAGCAAGACTTGTGTCATAGAAAATGACTGTGATGTAAGGATAGAAAGCTCTGACGCGGGCACCGAAAACTGTCAACCAGCATCTAGCTTCCAAGCAGTAGATTTTATTGGAGTAAAAAGTGTTTTGATATCTAATGAAAGAAAAGATGAAAAAGAAGGAATTGTGTGTGATGGTGTTAATGATACACTAAACGCTTGGATGTGGTGCATGCTTTGATGATAAGCATTTCAAAATGTTAAATAGAATGTCAGCAGCTAGATGTTGGTGATTGGAGGAAATGATTGAGAAGAGATAAAGAGATAATTTGAATAAACAGCAAAGAGTGATTAAAGTATTGCTTGAGTATTAAATGAGTGAAGCATAAACTGAAGCTTAAATCAGCTGAATGAAATGATGTGGAAACAGAAACTCCAAAATACAGAATGGGAAATAGGTGGGAAAATGAAAAAGGATAGCAGCTACCAGACCAGGATCTATAATGAATTGGTGTTGGGAAAACAAAAACACAGCTGCTGTTAAGGATAATGAGCTGACCAGATAATTATTCTGATTATAGATGGCTTAAAATTACTTCAGTGTTTTATGGCTTAGCAAATTAACTGAAAAGAGTTTTATGCTCTGATTTTATGAAACCAGTACACCAAAACCTTACATCTTGCATCATAAAGATCTTAAGGCAAGTTTTGAAATTAATACAAGTCCATTTTGATATCTAAAATTCTAAGTCGAAATGCCATGCAGGGTTATTTTTGGTCAGTTTAAAGCAGATTGACTCTTTAAATGGCTTTCTGCAGTGCTCACTTGTAACTATGGATGACTTCATCTGTACAGGAAAAAACCTTCAGTTATTATTTAATAACTCCTTGCATTACAGAAGCCATTCTAGGAGCTTACTGTAATCCTTGTTTCTACTCTCTTGTATTCTGAGGCTTCCTTAGTGTAAGTGTGGTATGAAAGCAATGAAAAAAAACATTGTCAGAAATCTTTTCTCCTTTTTCAGTGCATTTGCAACTGCAATTAAGAAATAAACGCAAGCAAGCTATGTTGAACAGTGTGATGTAGTCTTAAGATTCTGAGGAAGCAAATATCATTTTATTTTCATCTACTCATCCCTCTCTATATTTATAAGTAACAACAGTTATCAATTGTCATTAATCATAGCTCTCCTGGATCTTCCTGTTCAGCCTTCAAATGAAGTTATGGGTTTTGGACACAGCTCTGCAGCTGCATCCCAGCACCTTCCATTTAGATTTTATGATCATGCACGACGTGGTAGCAGTGATCCTACAGTGCAACGTTCTGTTTTTGCATCCGTTGACAAAGTTCCAGGTAATTGGTGTTAATTATCAAGCCATTTTTGCTATGTTTCAAGTAGGCAAAACAAGAAATGCACTTTGAAAATTCTAACTAGATTCCTTTTGAAGTTTTCATACTTACTGAAAACTGTATATATAAAAAAAAAAATGCAAACAGCTTGTTTTCATGCTTCATAAAGGCTTGACAAATTACTTTTGAATGAGATTGGGTGTAGTTTCTTTCTTTTTACAGTATCACTACTTATTTTTTAAAAATTCTTAGTATTAGCAATGTGAACATAGAGAAATGCTCTGACAGCTACCCATTAAATAGTGCTTATCTGTGATAGGTGTGGTAAGTTGGGCTGCTTATTCTGATACTTATGTTCTGCCTTACAGATGCAAATGTGAGTTTGTGACTCATGGTTGTGTGGTATAGCCTTATCATATGCTTTCATTTTTTCTCTTAGAATTCATGTAATTTTTTGAAGTCTAGTATTAAAAATTTTGGTTTTAGTCTTGACTGTCTTACTTCTGAAGTAGCAATTTAGCTATAGTTGAATTCTTGAGTTCAGAGTGCAAGGATGGATGTGTTTTACTGTTGAAAGGATAAGTGTTATCCAGCCTTTGAATTCTCTGACAGAGAATCTCCCTTAGCAGAAAGTTTCCTGAGTCCTTAAAGCAAGATTCTGTAATAATGGTTGATAAATACAATATTTTCTGCAGCTGTTGTATTAAATATTTACCAAAAATATAGAGACACTGTCCGTATTTTGAAAGAAAAAAGGTGATTCTACAGGAATTATGAAAGGCACTTCCACAAAAGTTGATATCCAAAGGCACATAAATATTGAGATCTGTAGAGTTGGGTTTAGGTGTTACAGGGGGCGTGTAGACGGAGGAAGATTGTCTGTAACCCTTGTAATCAACTTTTAGTTCCAGGTAAGTATCCAAATTGTGACTTGAATAAAAGTAATTAATAAATACAGATCTATTGCATATATATTCAGTGGTTCTTCCTGTTTCATTCAGCTGTTTGAAGCCTTGAACTTTGAGGTTTTAAAGTACATGTATCGGATCCAGACCATTAACAATAGCTGATAGAGCAGTTAGTGAATATAAACAAAGCAGATAACTGACACGTTTCCAAGGTATTCAACTTCATTTAGATATTGAGAATTCAGGAAGACACTAAAGTTACTTTTTCTAATAACTGAATTGAACTGCAGAGGCTAAACTGTAGTTTGTATAAACAATGAAAAGTTTTCTGCGTTGTATTTCTGAACATACAATTCCAGGATGAGGCTGATGGAAAAAGTTACATGTCCATGGCACTTTCTTTTAATACACTGGAAGCATCTGATTGCATTGTCATCCTTTGCAAATAGTTTAAATCATCATGTTCTCTGTACTCTGTACTTATGCAACGCATCTCTCAGGTGTGCGTAAGGCTGTCTGTAAGTTATTTTCTCACTGGTTTGTGGAAGCAACTGGCATACTTAATCTGCACTGCTTCATCTGCATTAGAACTGGGGAAAAAAAAGTCTAAACTAGCTACAGCATTCCTGTTGAAGCATGATTCACAGATTTTAAAAAAAAAAAAAAAAAAAAAAAAAAGAAAATGCTCTACCTAGAAAGCAGGTGTTCTGTTGCCTTATGACTTACTCAGAGCTCAGCTTACCTGAATCCTGAGTGCGGAGGAGAGAAATCATGAAAGTTTTCCAGTTGTTCAGATTTTTCAAGACATAGGGATGTTGTGTGACAGGAATGTATTTCCTTATTGGACATGATGCTTCCATGCAAAATGTGTGGTGGGAAAGGTGCCAGCATTACTGCTTCAGAATCAGCCTTCTTGTAGAGCAGTGTATGTGTAGCTGTGATGAGTGCCCTCTGCATGTTATGGCAACCAAACCTGCACCCAGTGCTCAAGGTGAGGCAGTACCAGCACAGAGCAGAGTAGAACAAGCCCTTCCCTTGCCCAGCTGGCAGTGCAGGGCCTGGGGTGCCCCAGGGTATGGCTGCACCTTCTGGCTGCCAGGGCACACTGCTGACTCAGTTCCAACTTACCAGAACTCCCAAATAGCTTTCTGTGGGGCTGCTCCTCCAACTTCCTGTCCCCCAGTCTGTACGTGTAGCCAGGATTTTTCCATACTGGGTTTAGAATTGACATTTGGTCTTGTTAAGCTTCATGAGGTTGGTGGTTTTCCAGCCGTCCCATTTGTCAGGAAGAGACAATGAGGGAGTTAATGGCCCATACTGAATTAGTAGTGGCCACAGGCTTCTTTGAGATGCATTGAAGTCCTGCATCTAGATCTTTTATAAAGATACTAATGAGAACTGCTGGCCCTGAAATGGGATGGGGCCTCTTCTCAGTAATACCTTAGTCATAAACAGTGTGTTCTGTTGAATTGAAAACATGACTATTGGAAAGGAAGCAATTATGTTTGTAACTAATCTTTGTCACAACTTGAGAGCTGTGAAGGAGTGACAAAGGCACCTCCAGAAGCTTTTGAGCACCATTCTGTTTCCTGGAGTTATGATTAATTCTGTTTGTGTTTTCTCTGCAGGTTTTTCCTGAATGACTTTCCTGGTTAGAATATTTGTTCTTGATCAGTTGTGCTCATTTACAGTATTTTGAATGATGAATGAAAGACTTGAATGAAAGACTTACCTTCCTCTCCCAACTAAATAACCTTACTCTAGCACACTTGTAATCCTTTATCTGCAGTTGTATTGCGTGGTGTGAATGTTTTGCCATTGCCACACTCAGTATTTTGTTGTGACTTGATGTATTTCATCTTTTTTTTTTTTTGTGAGTGTTTGTTTTTACTGTATTTTCTTTCTGTTGTCCTGTACTGAGGTACTCATATTAGACACCAGTGCTTTCCTTCCATATAAGAAACAAAGGAAGGAGGGTTTTTTTGCCACTCTCATGAAATGCTCTTTGTGGAACTTAATACTTCAGTGCAAAGAGTTGCAAGAAAAAAATGTAGCTTGGAAAAACAAAAAAAGTTGGACAAATCTAAGCAGCCTTGGTCAAAATGTCCTAAATGCCTTCCCAGGGTGTTGGCACAGCTATTTGAGCGTATGCTTCACCCTTTGGTTATTCACCCCTCACCCCTTGCTCACTGACTGGTGCACAACTTTATTTAAGATGTACTGTGTCATATAACTGTGGGCTTTTCATGTTTAAACTGCATAAAACATTCACCTGAATAAATATGTGATCACCCACTATGGAATTTTTAGGAAGCCTCATTGTAGTGGTGTGTGCCAGCTGAGGTGGAATTACTCTCCTGCTTATATTCACGTAAAGCAAACTGAAGCCTGGAAGTTCCCCGCAGTTCGGCGCGGAGAGTTCAAAGTGCTGATTTGTAGGGAAGTCTATCATGATATCCTGCTGGGTATTTCATGTGAGGGAAGCTGGTTTTTAGAAGGATGATAACGAACACAAGGTAGAAAGCTACTTTGTTTCTGTGATTGCAGAGACTGCTCTTTGGTGATAGCTTTAAAAATAGATTTTGTATTTATTATGTTCACATTTTTATTACCGATTTTAGTTATTTTAATAAGCATACAAATAAGGACAAGGTATGTCCTTTTATGTGGCATATATATATATATTGTACTGAAAAGTGTAATAAAACTTATGTTCTCTGAAATGGCAGTGTCCACTTACCTTGAGGGTTAAAGAAGTCATGAACCTTAACTATTATAATGCCCAAACTTATGGTTTATTTTTCATTTTTCCCATTGAGCATGATGTTATAGGTAAGGAAGGGGTGCTGCAAATCTGCCTGTTATGTGGAAATTATCAGCAAAACTCCCCTAAAATGATTTGAAGAAACAAAGCAACGTTCCCAAAATAATACTAAAATACCGAAATCTGTTGAACTAACTTGTTTTGCTTCTCATTTTAGTTGCCACAAGGTTATTATTAAGGTTCTTCCTGAAAGACCACAGCGAAACTCAATAGTTTTTCAAAGCGCTTTTTATGGGAAACGATTGAACAGGAACAGGATGACAAGGATAATGATATTGTTGGAAAATCTATCCAGTCTGAACAGATTTTCAGAAATAACTGCAGGCAGTTGTTGCATTGTTGTGTTTTTTCCCCATTCTGTTCCCTAGCATTATGCAACATTTCTGCTAGCACAAACTCTGCATCTAAAGCTGTGATGAATGCCTTGGGATCGATGCATTTAGGTGTAATAACTTCTGTTTGTGCGACTGTTAAATGTTTCTCAGATTGTTAATTTTGTTCTTCTGCACTTGGTGAAGCATCGCCTTGCTTGTTCCATTTAACCTTATGCAGGAAGCTGTTACATTGTACCTTCCAGAAACTATTACTTTGTTTCTGGTCTGCCCTCCCAATTACAGCTTTTAGGAAGTGAATTATGTAACTTGGAAAATAGAAAGTTAAACGTGCATTTGACATTCACAAAACTTGCAAAAAGAATTTTTCTTTAGAAAACCAAGCAGAATTAGCTGCTTTCACAAGCACGTGTGGTTTTTTTTCCTTCAAAAATCACCAACATGGACATTGGTGTACTTGCTTAAAATAATTTTCTGCATTACTAAAAACAATTGCAACAAACAAGGATCTCTTTGCAGCCTCTCCTGGATATATTGATTGTATAGTTTATTATATAGTTTGATTTAGTATTAAAAGTTCACTGGGTTTTTAGGCTCTTAACAAAGAACTCTAAATAGTTGTATGGAGGTCAGAAAATCCTGCCAATTTGTAGGTAGTCAGGTGGAGCTTGAGAATGGCCTTTGCAAGGATTGAGTTCAGTCATCTGCGAGTGAAATTGGGGAAAATTTTCTCTGAAAATGCAGAAAAAGTATCTTGCTGTACTTGTCTTAAGCTGATCCCCAGAATCAGGCTGCTCTGGGTTTAGCATCTTTCTCTCACCTTCAAAGTGATAAAACATGCTGAACTGTTTTGCAATGACACTGGTGTAGGACTAAAATTAAAAACTTCAAAACTTCATTGTGCTTGCAGTAATGAAAAATGAATATTCATGCAGTGCA